TGAGTCAATTACCTTGATTGGTGGTTCCACAACGGCGCTCAACAGTAGAGGTTGCAGCATCGTGGTGATTTCATCCATAGGTGGTTGCGCTAACTTGTCTTTGGTGGCCGGCGAATCCGCCGCCATCAATTCCTCCAACGCGGTTGCTTTGCCTTCTCGTCGGGGACAGGAGGTGCTGCAACAGCAGGTGGTGATTCAAGGTTTGCGGCCGACGTCGGTGAGACTAGCGTCGAAAGTTGTTGCTGATCACCAAGGCTCTTGGCGGTCAGATCTTCTTCTACTGGTGGGATTAATTTAGGAACTTGAATGATGAAGTTGAATTTGCCGAAGCCAGCGCGATACTCGCCAAGTTTGCATATAGCTCTGAACCGAATAAGCTTCTCGAATCGGATCCATCTGTGTCCATCATCCAATGGTCGTTGTCCTGTTATTGCTAACACGTCGGATCCAATCCTCTGCACTTCCACGTGCTCTTGCTCAAATCCAGGCAGGGTGAAGAACATGACAACACGATTGCGCAAATCCAACCGCATGATCTTGGGTTGGATGTCTTCATATACTCGTTCGTCCCTGGTTGAGAGTTGTGACGAACTCCGATCTTCGACCATGGCTCTGATACCAGATGTTAGAAACAAAGTTTCTAACGGGATTCGTATTGGGTGAGATTTGGGAATTTAGGGATTGAGAAGATAGAATTAGGGATTTGGGAGAAGAATTGAGGAAGAATAGGAGGGAATCGGCCTAAGCCTTTAGAGGGATTGAGGTCAAGAATTGAGACGATTGGGATAGAAATTTAGGGAGATGATTCTTTTATTACTTATGCTTCATATGACGAAAGACCCAAAGTACATATTTATAGAAAAATACTAGGAAACCCTAATAATAAACCTAATTCTACTAAAATACTACTAACCTTAATAAGACTTACCCTAATAATAATTAAAATAATAAATATAGAAACCCTAGATAAATCGGTTTCTAACATAATCCAGAACAATCAATCCACTGCAATTCTTCATTCTTCCCGCTTCTTTTAGCTTCATTGGTTCAACGATGCTTTTGACAACCTGTCACTAGAGACACTTGAAATCGAGTGTCGACCTCAAAGGGTAAAATCCCCAGTCTGTAAGTTCGCTTCCAAACCTAAAATTTTTAGGGTGAAGATTTGGCGACGAGCGAAAATTGAGTGCCCGTGTTAAAATGGGAGTAGTCGACTGAGTGGATCCAAACCGAAGAGGCGGCAAATACGATGATGTGATTCTGATTCCCCCACTCCCCGCCCATAATTTGAGAATTCCCCAATCAGGGAATTCAAGCAGAATGAGCTTCGGCCAGTGCACTTAAATCCCCGACTGGGATTTGGCCCTGCCGAGTTTTGTTCCTTTTTCGTTTAGGATTCTTTTTTATTTTTTGTGTTTTCATTAGTTTTATTTTCGAGACCTATTTAAAGGGTTGTAAACAAGAATTTTAGGGCGAGACTTTGATGGATAAGAATTTTACACCGAGGTGTGTTTTCCCCAATGTAGTCGTCGTGCTTATGGTTTATTGTTTTAGCTATTGGTGGATTCCATAGCTAGTGCAATATCCTTGTTTGACTTTTGCTATTGAAGAATCCAGAAGAGCAAGACTCTTGTCAATCAAGAAATCACACTTGATTGTGGCGAGTATCTATCAATTCCATCTTTATCGTATCTCTATTATCCTGTTTCCAGTTCGTGAGCATTGTTGCGTGACTTTGATTAAAAGAACCTAAACTCTCACGAGCTCGAGATCTATCAGACGAGATATGGCGGAGAGAGGCAATAACGATAGGTGAAAATTTGAGATCCACAATCGTACCCAAATCTCCAAATAGTCTTCTCTGAGCCCGAAAAGAGCCATCCATAGCAATGTGGAGGTGGAGAGTGAAGCGGCAATGGCACCGTGATTCTACTTTTGGAAATTCTTGCTCGAAGCTACATCCTACCGCTCCTTGGATTCCCATTTTCACTTTTAGGATAATGTGGATTGACAGGCTTCATTGCTTCAACGATGGTGGTGGTGTGGGGGTTTAATTTAATTTTTTTATTGTTAGTTTTTCTCATAAATTATTAGGGATAATTTAGTTAGTTCATAGTGGTCAGACCACGGTTTGACTACATTAAACACTTTTTGATGAAAAAGTTAATAGGATGGCTCGTTTGAGAGTTTATCATAGTAGAGGGGGCAACTTTGATATGAAACATAGTAAAGGGGTATATTTGAAAAAAATACATTGTAAAGAGGCATATTATACCTATAATCCTTTTTAAGTTTTGGACAGGAATAACCAAACATATTTGAGACACCACATAATAGCCAAATCTTTTAGGACATTAGGTTTGGTAACTACAGGACAAGGTGTGTGAACGTGCATTTGTAAAATCCAGGAAGCGTGACGGTGAAGGCGGCGACGTATGAAAAATCCAGGAAGCGAATTGAAGTGGGCGATCCATAAAAACCAGATCCAATACTTTGTAACGTTGCTCGGCAATGGTTGCGCCGATGACCCCTGTGTAGAAGACGATGGCATAGATGGTGACGAGAGGGGTGAACTCGGCGAAGTAGAGAATTGATTTTGCCCTGCTGAAATCGTCCAGTCCAGCAAGCTCTCCGGCGGGGCGTCGAGTGGGAACCTGGCGAAGTAGAGAATCGATTTCGCCCAGCTCACCTCCATGCAGTTCTCCCTTTTCAAACCCAGATATGGGAATTTTGAATCCATCATTGGCCACTCTGGTCAGAACGACCATGAAGAACACATCCTTGGAGAGCTTATCGACTATGTACTGCCATCGATGGACAATTTCTCTTCAACTTCTTCCCTGACCAGATTTTGCGATGAAGAAAAGACAAAGGCTGAGATGCTGGAGTGCTTGGCTGATTGGGGATGAAGGTAAAACTCTGTCTATTTTCTGCTATCGCAGATCTTCGATTGCAGTTCTGGGTTTCCTCTTCAAATTATGTGATTAGGGAAGTAGGTGAAGAATCAACAGTGGAGTTATGGGCTCTTCTTCGTCCATTTGGGTTGTAGGTTTTTGAGTTTGGATTCTTCTTCATCTATCTTATTCTGGGTTTGGGGTTTTTCTTCTTTGCTTATTTGGGTTTGCAGAGTTACGGATTTGGTTGGTGAATTGATAAATCCCCAAATTTAGGGGAAGTAATTAATAACACTCTTCGATAGTGGGAGGTTAGTCTGGAGGAACGGAGAGGACGAGACGGGGATACTCGGCCGACTCGGCTGGGTTGAATTGCTGCCGGAACTGGGAAAGACGACAAAGTCGGGGAAGATCAAAGATGGGTCGTCTGATACAAATGGGGAATATGATGGGGGGGGGGGGGGGGGGGGATTTTTTGATTTTTTTAATTTATTATGTGTAAATATTAAATAATTAAAATATCTGACGTGTCACTATTTGCTTATTTGGCGCTGATGTGTCCGCTGAGTTGGCTTCTAGTAAGCCAACCGTCAAATAAGTTGACGGTGTCAATAACACCGTTAAAGTTTGTAACGAAAATGGCTATATTTGGCACAAAAGTTTCAAAATTCTGGTTGACACAAACGCGAAAGTTTTGACTATACAAGTATCTATTGTAAAAAAAAACAAAAACAAAATTTACTCTTTAGCATTTCATTGAGAAAAACCACTTTTGATGCCAAAGAGCAAAACTTAGTATGCTCTATAGCAGTACCCTTTGAGATGGTCTAAGGATCCACATTGAACAAAAGTAAAGACTATGTCGCTTAGAATAGTTAACCATATAAGTAACCGTACTTGAGTTAACTAGTAAGTCATTGTATCAATCAAGACCATGGTTGTCATGCCGGTGGCATATCGATCGGTTGAACCTGGTTCAATTGATACCGGTAATAAAATCGGCATGATCGATTTACGAAGTATAGGTAAAATGACATTGTTTTAGAAAATATTTATGAATTTATTATATGTTTTATGAATATAAAAGTTAAAAGTTTATGTATTTTGTTGAATTCGGGTATAAATGTTTAGATATTGATGTTAAATGTTGTATTTAAATATGAGTATGAGTTACTTTATTTGGAATATCATATTTTATTAAGCCGGTATGAACCGATACAAACTGGTTGTACCTCTGATCGTACCATTCCACTTATTAAACCGGTGCAATGATATAACTGGTTTGAGATCAATACCCACACAGATGGATTCTAATTTCTAACTACGAACGTACGCCAACCTGTAATTCTGCATCACACACCTCAATTAGCTAGTGGTGGCCGGTGGGCCTCCCCTTGTCTTGTGTAAGCTCAGTTAGCTCAGTGTAATAAGTAGCATCACTAATCCATAATCGATATATATATAATCTCCAGCTTATCCACGACTAACCATCATCATCAATCGTATATCAATCATTTGATACTTTTATTAAGATCACGGTATCATTTGATAGCTTATATCCAACACAAATAAACACTCACACTCGCTTCCCACAAACAATCATACACATAATACACTTACAACAATAGGAAAAAGAAGGATGACAAACCCGATGAAATCGTTTACAAATTAAGTGATCGAAGTGTTTGCGACATGTTCATCGAGTGTTAGCCCGTCTCATGTCATGATAACAATATCAAAGTCAAACTTTATTACAATAAAAACATCACAAATTACAAACTTTTTTCTAGAAATTTGTAGATCTCATATATCATGACGAACTCGTTTCTTTGAGCTAAATTTTTCAAAATTTGAAATATAAACAAAAGTGGTACCAAGTGATACTAGGGTGGTGGTAACGAGTGGTATAGGTTGTATAAAATATTTTTTCTCAAGATATTGAAAATTGATGTAATTTTATAAATCACAACAAACTCGTTCCATCTGTGGAAAAAAAATTGGAATTCAAGTTATAAGGAAAAAAAAATCATCTTTTAGATCTAATCCTACTTAGACTTAAGAGTTTATATCTAATTATGAAAGGGAACTAATATGGAAGTAAGAAAAGGGGGGAAAACAGCAAAACCCTCCCCAGGATCTGTGGTGCAATGATGGCCGTCCGATGATCTAGTCTCACGCAGACAGGGAATCTAATCCGACGGCGGAGAAGTGAGGTAGAGGGTAACACGTGAGATGAGCAGAAGAAAAGGGGAAAGCCAAAAAAGAAGTTAATAAAAGGAGGAGTGGATCACTCGAGAAGTGACGTACTTACTTCCCGATTCCACAGGCCTGCCTCTGCGGCTCTGCCTCCGCCATTGCTCTCTCTTTCTCTCTCTCTCCCGGCCGAGCAGCCGACCGACCGAGGAAGCGAGCGCGCGGCACACTCTGCGCCACCATCCCAACCTTCCTCCATCCATTGCCCTGTTCCATTCATTCATTCCGTCCACCCAACAGTCAATTTCAGCGAGATATAAATGCTCTGTTTCTCTCTCTCCCTCTGTTTTTTCTTTTGCTTTCCCAAGCAACTTAAATAGCGCATCTACAAAGGGCAGCAAGCATCATCGACTCTTCCTTTCCTCCTGCTCCCACGCACGCACCCCCAAGTCTCTGCTTTCATTTCTCTTCCCTTCTCTAACTATCCCCCAGCTCGACCCGCGAGCTTCAAAGCAAACATTTTTAATTCCCCACACTGTCAGATCAAAAAGTTGGTGAATTTGGGATTTGGGAATTTTTTTTGGTGGGTGGGGTTGGGATTGAGTGAGTACATGGATCCGATGAGCGAGGAGCCCTTCAACTTGGCGGAGATCTGGCAGTTCCCGCTGAATGGCAATGGGAGAGGCCAATTTGGGCAGAGTTTGGCTCACTTTGCAGACTCTGCCACGGATAATGATCCACCGCCCAATTTGGAGAACAGAGGAGGAGGAGGAGGTTTCATGAGGAAGCGCCGGGATTTGGAAGAAGCCGTCTCCACCAGCAATGGCAGCGGGAATGGACTGGTATGTATATGAGTATATCCCTCCACCCTATCTTCATTCTGATTGGCCATTGATTTTTAATTTTACCCAGCACACAAGAAAAGCTTCACAGTCAATTGGATTGTTGACTTTGTTGTTGCCATCATTGGCTGTAACGTGGCCAGTAACTGAATTACTGCTTTCCTTATTTGGGCAATGATCTGAAAATTGGGTGCAGAATGACAGTGATGGGAAACGGATTAAAACAACAAGAGGAGGGAGTAGAGATGATAACTGTGATGCCAAACCTGAAGAAACAGAGCTTAGTTCAGGGAAGCCGCCGGTGGAACAAAAGGCTCAACCAACCTCCGCAGAGCCACCTAAACAAGATTTCATCCACGTACGGGCCCGGCGTGGTCAAGCTACTGACAGCCACAGCCTTGCTGAAAGAGTATGTCAACCTTTCTTTTTCTTTTCGTTCAAGATTCCAACCAACTTTTACCCTGTAGTGATTCTTAGATACTGTGCTGTAATTATGGACGCGTGGGCTCACATGGGGTTGCTGCTACTGTTGCATTGACAGGCCAGGAGAGAAAAAATCAGTGAGAGGATGAAGATTCTTCAGGACATCGTCCCTGGTTGCAACAAGGTACATTTTTGTTGCAGTGCTTTCCTAACCAGAGACAGAGCTTTTAACGTCTGGCTGGATTTCATGAGTGTGTTTTTTGTGTACCTGTTCCTGGGATGCAGGTCATTGGGAAAGCTCTCGTCCTTGATGAGATAATTAATTACATCCAATCATTACAGCGTCAAGTTGAGGTATAAGTCGTTGTTATGAAGAAGGATTAACAGGACAAATACTTATACTTCCCCTTGTAGTTACCTTGAACTACTGTCAATGAAGCTGAGTTCTTTCTCTTAAACTTGCAGTTCCTGTCAATGAAGCTGGAGGCAGTTAATTCCAGAATGACTCCAGGGATGGATGTCTACCCTTCAAAAGAGGTAAGCATCTGCTCCTTCTTTTTCTGTCTGTACTGAAATTCCCTTGTACAGAATTTAGTAGGGGCTGCTTAATTCCTTTCTTCTCTGGATGCCATTTCTCTGTGATTCTACGCTATAGTACACAGCCCACCACTCTTTGCTATTGCTTCTCGAAAGAGTTGAGATATTTAGATAGGTTGCCTGTCGTCTTTAGCTGTTGAAAAGGTTATCAGCATATCGAAATCTGAAACACGAGATACTGTGATGTACCTGTTTTCTGAGCCTTGATCAGTTTCTGCTACTCTTTGATGTCAGTATGGCCAGCAAACATTTGATGCTTCCGGCATAGGTTATGGTTCACAAACCACAAGGGAATTCAGCCGGGGAGCATCGCCTGAATGGCTGCACATGCAGATTGGTGGCGGTTTTGAAAGATCGTGATCAATTGATTGGCAATAAGAGAAGCAGCAATACGATACTTTATATCCTCCAGAGGGTTAGTTACATTATACGCAGCTAAGTTCTGGTTTAAAAGATAAAGAGAGCATTATGTTGTCACTACAGCTACTTCGACATCATAACATGAATTGAAAGCTGTGGAATCCCGAACAGAGATCTCTCCAGTTGTTTGATCGTTGAAGAAAAGCCCATTCTTTTACTTCATACATATATAGAATCGTTTGTAAGCTGGACTTCACTTTTTTTTCTCCTGCTGTTGTAATACCTGCTAAGATGAGATCCTCCTGGTCCTATAGCTGTCTAAATTTCTTGTTGTAAAAGGAAAGTTTCTGTTAGAGATTTCCTCTCCTGGTATGCATGCTCTGTACAAACCCTTTTTGTTTCATACCTATCATAGACATGGTGAAGCCCAGCTTAGATCTTTAATGAAGTATGATGGTTCAATGTTAAACATAAACCTTCAGTCTTGGTACAAGTCTCACATATTTCAGCAGTTGATCTAAGCATTCAAATATATAGTGAAACCAGCAGCAGGAGAACTCAGATAGTCAGATGATGGTAGGAAGGTTTGAGCAAACGTAGTTTAAGACCCTTTTGCTTCCTTCCGCAGCATAACGACTCCATTGTTGATCTCATCAAAACTGTACAGCGTTGCAACTTGCTGATGCTTAGGTAAAAGCTAATTACATGGCTGCCCGTGTAGTACCAGAGAAGCTTCTTCCATCATCGTTCCCATTTGCTTGGAGGTAGGAAACCACTGCCCAGACAACCCGTACGAGCAGGACTCCGACAAAGATGGTGGTTCCAAGGGTGCAAAACACCTGTAACCAGATCACCCAATATCAGGAACCCCAGAATGTAGCTAATTGGAGTTGAAATTAATCAAGAGACGATTGAATAAGTGTAATCAGGAAGCCCAGATTCCAAGTGTGGGGCTTTAGAATCATAAGCAGACTGCAATAAGACGGTCACCATATTACCTGAAGAAGTGATTTGAAGATGAAGAGTACAGACAAAGCGAGCACCCCATCAACCGCAAAAGAAACCTGGCGTCCCCCAGAGATCACAAGAAACCCAAACCAAATTGAGAAGGTCAGCAACTTGGCAATCAAATCAATGCTTATCAGAAACGGTCAATAAAACTCCACATTTCCCCTTCCACGGGTACTCAAATTTCATCATTAGCTATACCACAAAACTGGAAATCTAGTGCAGACCCAAACCCTAGTAAAAAAAGACTCGTCACCAATGCATCGAGCCCGGTATTTCAGAAGCAATTGATTATATTACCAGTTGCGGGGAGAGAACAGAGGGCAGTACAGAGCGAGAAGCCCTCTTGGCACGTTTGGATATTTTCTTCAACCAGCTCTGCATCAATCTGAGGAACAAATCGATACTGCTCTCTGTCTCGTCGTCGTCATCATCATCATAATAGCCATCCTCGTCGATTCCTCCTTCCATCATCGCCCCAATTCCATCGAAGAAAGCTTCTCCCATCTCCGTCGGCTCGGGCTTCGCCCCGTACGATCCATCCAACTGGTTTAAGTCATGAACCCCATGTCTCCGGTGTTATTAAACCCCGAGAGAGAGAGAGAGAGATGCAGTGCAGTGAAGGGAAAATTGGAAGACGGACGGAGTGGATTTCGTGGGAGTGCGAGATAAAAAAAAAATTTCAGGGGAAAGGTTAAGAGATGGGATACCTTGCCATGGCATACGACGATTCTAGGGGTGCTGTGGGAAGTGCTGATGTTGTGGCGGTGGAAGGAGACGGAGTGGCGAAGGCGGGGAGAGGGAAGGTTTAGAGGCTGGTGGAGGAGATTGACGACGGCGGCCGTGGTGGGCCGGAGAGCTAGTAATGCGTCAGGAGACGCGGCGGCTGCAACCTGTAGCATCTTCTCGTCCGGGCTTGATGAGCAAGTGGGCAACAAGTTTGTCGACTCCCTTCTCCTTGCAACGAACTTGAGCTCGAGTCTACTGCCGGTAAAGTGAGTAAACGGAAGTACTCAGCTTTCGATTTCTTTCCTATCCAAAGTAGGGGTTAGCATCCGGTTCGATAAAACCGATCAGAACCGGACCGAATCAAATTTGAATGAAATCAAAACTAAAATAATGTTCTCGATTCAGAATTCCAAAAAGAAATTGGCCTAATTCGAAAGTCATGGTAGTCACGAATGAACAGAGTTTCAAATTCCAAACCGACCAACATAAATTCTACTTACAATCTTCCCAGCCCTTACCCCACAAACCCAACCGAAGCCCAAACTCTCCCCAACTCAGTCCCCCACAACCCAAAATCTTAGCAACCCAAAGTCCTACACTGAGCTCAAACTCTCCCCCAACCCTAACTACCTAAGCCTAAGTCCAACAGGCTAAGAAGAGTCTCTCTCCGTTTTTGCTCTCTCAGATCTGCTCCTGCCGTCCACTTCACGGATGGACGCGGGTGCATCGTCAGTGTAACCTTCCCGACTCGAGCTCCATGAGACTAGAAACCCAAATCCAAACATAAAAACCATTATGCATCAAAATCAGTACAGAAAATCAAACGAGAAACCCGCATGCATCTCGAAAAGGGCACACCCGATCCTAAATTCAATTACCCTCCCATTGGTGTCGACATGATTTCAATTTTCTTCTTCACTGCCGCTTGTGGGTTCAATCTCTGATTGTGAGCAAACCGAGCTCTTCGTTGTCGCCCGTCGGTGGATTGGAGCATCATCGTCTCCTTTCCCCTTCACCACGCACTTAAAGATCTCACCATTCCTCCACTGGTTCATCCACAACTTGCGTCGAGTCACCGAGTGAAAACGAGAACATATTTGAGGGAGATGGAGTGCAATATGTGAGGAGAAATGGGGAAGTTTGTTTGTTGGAGAGAGAGACTTTGTTAGTGATGTGCTCATGGCATCCTCAGTCTATGATCCATTTTTTATCTAAGGATTTCTTAGCAACCATGGTTACAATAAGTGCTCTAAATGAGAAAAAGACGTTGAGCCTTTGCCACCACTAAGGAACCCCATGAGTTAACGATATTGATCTATCGATAGTCTTTTTATTATTCAGAAACCTCAGCCTCACGTGTCACTTTTGTGACAGTGGGTCCTACTAAATCTGGGGGCCACCTGCAATCAAATTCGACGCCAACTGGGCTTCGCCCCAGCAACTTTGTACCTCCGGAAACACCAACGGGCCTCACTTGGATTCGAACATGTGATTTGCAACTTCCAACTCTTCACTGTCGCGACAGCTTTACCATTAGACTATCTTACCTTTGGTTCCATCAATAGTCTTAGATGGATGATCGTCTATTTCGGTGACATGAACAACCCTGAGACCAACCTTAGTATCATAAAAAAGTGTGTCAATTTCATTTATCTCTTGGTTTCTCATATATTGAAGGGTAGCCTACCAACCGATATAATCTCTCTTTGATGGGCCCTTACTTGTTGAGTGATTGCACTTTATCCATCTCCCAGCATTTTGGCACGCACCACCATCAGTTATAATTGCATTTGTTTGTTTAGTTGTGGCCTCCAATTTTTTTTCTTCTTATTTGTTGATCATCCTAAGTAGGGGTGGGCAACCGGTTCTGTAAATCCGAACTGAATCGAACCGAAATCAAATTGAAAACGAAATAATGCTATTTGATTCGAAATTCGGAAGGGAAATATAGATATTTCGGAAATCAGGGTTCTTTCTACCGAACCGAAATTCCGAATTTTCGACCGAAAAACCGAATTACTATAATTGCAAGCTCTATATGGTGGATTTTTATGTTTGTACTTGTTTTGATACTTATATATTTGAATCGAGAAATTTTACAATGCTATATAGCATTGGTGCTATAGGTTTTTGCCTTTAAGGTAGAACTTCAAGTTGTACCTTTAACGTTATGGTATAACTTCAGCTTGTACCTATACTATTTTACAAATTCTTTTATGGTACAACTTGAACTTGTAGCTTTATGTGATGGTACAACTTAAAGTTGTGAAGTTGTACCATAACATAAGGGTGCAAATTCCTTTATGGTACAACCCAAACTTATACATGTTACGTTATGGTACAACTTTAAGTTGTACATCAAAGCACCCATGCTTTATAGCATAGTAGAAGTGCTCATTTGAATCATGTTAGCGTTTTATGGCTTTATGTGTTGAAATGTTTGCTTTTAACATTGATGATGCATATAGTTGCGTATTTATTGTTTACATTAGTGGTGAAAAATAATTTAAAAAGGAGAAGATACAAGTAGTCTTACAAATTCGATTTTGGGTGAAATTCCAAACCGAACCGAATTATAATTCGGTTTAGACCAACCAAACCAAATTATAATTCGTTTCGAATTTGGTTTGAGGTTTGGTGGAATTCGGGGACCCGATATGCATAATTGCGATTGGCTTGATGTTAAGTGCACGAAACCTAATAACTTCCGGCGTTTCGCGAAAATGGGAATATTTTACAAAGCATCTGAAACTCGTAAATTATAAGAAGACAAATACTTTCTATCACAGACAAATATCTTGTTGTTGTACAATCAATTGAAAGCTAAGAGATTTGGATAGCCTTCATTGAGATTCACCGGTTGATCAATCTACTGAAGCAAATATGTAAGCCACCAGTCTTAACTGGAAATCCAGATTTTGTTTGTCTCTCTCCTATGCCCTTCGACACATTGTATCATATGAACAAATGTGACAACATAATGGGGTATTTAAGGGGGTAAAATATCTCGGATGCCACTTAAATTTGAGAATTGAGGCATATATACGACTTAAGTTTGAATAGGACGTCGAATATTAAATTTTGTAAGAACTAAAATTTTACATGTATTATTTTCAAATAACATATAACAATGAGTAGACTCGCGTAACTCATACCCGCCCTGATCCATACTTGGTACATGACGAATATGAATATTGAGTGACCTTCCTCCCTACCCATTGGCATCACTAACCTAGTATCCCTCCACATGACGTCATAATAAAGTTCAATTGCATTGTTAGTTACACCAAGACACCGGTCTTTGGCATATCTCCCAATCGGGAAGCTCCATTCCAACGAAAAAGTCTCCCACCACGACACCGTCCGTCAGCATAACTTCCATTCCGTTTCCACTGTTCCTTATAATTTTCCCGGTCCGAGAAACCGTAAAGTTCCAACATTTCATGGCAACTTAGGAAGCTTCCTCCTCCTCCGCCGCCGTCTCAACTCTCACGCTCCGTTACCAATGTCGGATTCCAACGCCGCAATGTCCCTTCTCTGCCAATCCACGGGGCAGGGTTGCGCGTGGGGGTGATAATCCGTCTACACATATATTTTAAGCGGAAGAAATGAAAATAAAGTTACGCGGTTTATTCGGATACTTTTAATGAAATAGAAAATTCAAACAAACCAAAAAAATAAACCAGGAAATTGTGAACGAAGCAGGAACAAGAGAGAGAAGGTCAGAGAGAGAGATCGAAGCAGCGGGAGGAGGAAAGGGAAAGATATTTTTTTTCTTCTTGTCACCCCCCTCTCTGTTCCATCGACGTTACCCAGGAGGGGATTTGCGTTCCCGAGGAGCAGATTGAAGTTCGAATAGGATCACTACCCTTCCGGCGGGATTGTGAATCAGCGGTTTTCAATTCCGATCTCGGTGGCGGGGTTGGGAAGAGGCGGAGGAGGAGGAGGGAAAGATGAGTGGCGGCAGCGGATGGGAGAGGATTAGGTCGACGAGAGGGGGAAGGTTGTCACGGGAAACGAGTTTGACAGGGCGGACGGCGAGGACGGTGAGGCTCGGCCGCGTACAGCCACAGGCGCCTGGTTACCGTACAATTTACTGCAATGATCGCGAAGCCAATCTCCCCGTCCGATTCAAGGTTAGGCTTCCGATACTTGGAAATGGAGACAAATGCCTGCCTTTTGCTTTTGCTTTTTTCTACGCCACCTGAGAGGATTTTGCTTTGCTTTCCTCTCTTCGTTTAGGGCGTTGTTTTGCTTCGCTGAGGAATAGGTTGGAAAAAGATTGGTTATTTAGGTTCCCCCTGATGATGGGTACTTCACTCAACTGAGTGTCGTAAATTTTTCTCTTTCAGTTTGATTTTGAAGGGGGAAACTTGGAATGTAAATAAATCAGTTTTTGTCGTTGGTCTTTGTTTCCAAATTGCGCGACCTTCAGAGAACATATATATATTTTAAGTTGGTAATTGCAGTATGTATTCCATCTTGAAGATTTTGTTTAACCTGATCGGGCCAATCTCGGTGCCTTGCTGGATCGTTCTTCACTTTAGGAGTAGGAAGTCCTGTAAGCTTATGCGGTAGAACCAATCGATCAGCAAGTCTAAGTCCAGTCCTGTAGTTTTGTGATCCTTGACGATTTGATAAGAATTAAATTAGGAATTAATGTTAAAAAAGTCATATGCCTTTCTCTCTCGTTGTTTCTCTTGCTTGTTTGTGTGTATATCGGCAGTCTGTATACCAGGGTTCGTCAACAGATTGAAACCTTCCAGGCTCATAATAATTTAGCTTTAGTTTTATCAATTATGTGTGGGAAATTTCTCCCCTATGAACAGTTTGTGCGGGAGTTCTTCAGTGGCTGCTGGTTTGATAGGTTATTGGAAGGAATGGCATTTTAGTTTGGCTTTTCATATCATCTACGATGAAGAAGCTGCTAAGTGTACTGATGGTAGAGTAGTCAGTTTGATCTTTGATGGCAATTCAGATGATCTTCAAGTGAAGGTTAAGTGTTAAAGTCTCCAAGGGAAACTTCAGAGGAGCAGGCTTCATTTAGGTTACTTAGTATTTGAATCCAAGCTTAAGGAACATTCCTTCTGTGTCCTATTGATAAGGAATTTGTGAGAGGCAACTCTACCTATTTTTATTAAAAAATAGATCTTACTATCTTTTGATAGATGAATTCCCTTGGAACAACAAATAAGAATTCTGATTGTTACTATAATGTAAGATCAGTAGTGTCATTATTACAATTCTATAAACACGAAAATTAACAATCATTATCGGGGGAAAACAACAACAAAATGAATGATACTGAATTGAGAAAAGCTGATATACTTATTTATAAAAACAATTTTGCTTTTCAAATTTTCATTGGTGAGATTTATTAATCTTACGTTCCAGGTTCAGTGCTCCTTGCATATCTTCTCGTAATTGGTTTTAGAGTTATTTTGTTTAGATGATTCAACTTTGTATTAAGCTGTTAATTTATTTTATTAGTTTGTACTTTGTGTTCCATAGAATAGTCTGCCACCATGGTCTTTTTTTCTTATCAATAATGTTGGCCCCGAGGTTTGAACTTAAACTGATTAGGACGTCTTTCCTCACCACTAGGCCAGCCTCTCTAGGTTAGTGGTTGATTGCTAATTATTTGAAATGATTTGTTTCAGGGGAACTCTATATCGACGACAAAGTACAACTTCTTGACCTTTCTACCCAAAGGGTTGTTTGAACAGGTAAACTAGGTTCGATCAGAAACTTGTTGTTGGTTCTTGACTGTCGTCATGTCTATCAACCTGCATCAGAGGAGCAATGTCTTACTAGACATTTAAATCTTGAGCATGATTACCCCATAGAGATCTATTCCAAATTTCAAAGTTGGACATTATTAGTCCAGTGATGCCTATCTTTGTGCTGAAACTTTAACTAAAAAGAACTGAAAGTGAAATGAGAAGAAATTCAATGGTGCTTTTCCAACCTCAAGTCAAAGTAGAAGGAAAAATATGGGAAAGAATGGAGACATAGCCAACACTATTATTTGTTAAGGTGGCTAGTACTTAGGTTTAGTGTAATGTGCAAATGTCTCCATAATTATTGATTACCCTTTTTCTAGAAGAACAACATTAGGCTTCAGACCACTACAACATATGATCAAATGTGTTCGTCTAATTAATGTAATGAAATAACTCCATAGGCTAGTCCCTGTAAGTGAATATAGTACAGAGATTGGTACCAAGGAGGGCGGTTGCTTGTGACATAGTTCCTGAGATTTGTGAGGGTGGTTTGGGGTTTTAGTTTCTGGTTGGTTGTATGCATCTGTCATCTGTGCATTCCTGTGCTGGTTAACTTCTTTACTGAGAGGAATTGTTTCCCTAAATTGGCAGTTCAGGCGGGTGGCTAACTGCTACTTTCTCTTTATTTCTATTCTCTCAATGACACCTATCAGGTAACCGGACTAATTTCTTTTACAAACTTCTTGCTGTTTCGTCTCTACTAATGTGAGAAGATAGCTTGTTTTGTTCTTTTTTTTGTTCAAGTTTGGCTGTGCATGATATAGAACAACTGCTGCCTTCTTTCGTTTGTATAATCATTTCTTGGGTTTCTCTGTAGAGCTTTGCATTAATATGCTGTCTTGTAATGCAGTCCTGTTAATCCAGTGACAAATGTCGTCCCCCTTAGCTTGGTGCTTTTTGTTTCTCTGATCAAGGAGGCATTCGAGGACTGGGTGAGTAGCATAAGCACATGACACCTTTGAATTTTTACTATTTATGGCTTAAGCTGTTTCCAACTTGTCTGAGTTAAACCTTTTCCTTTGTGAAGTAGAAGGGTAATTCAGGGTTGAATTTCACTAGGAGCGTTCAAGTCGAGGCCACTGCTGATATATTTTATATTTGCCTGTTTTCTTGTCTGAAACAGAAACGCTTGCAGAATGATATGGTGATAAACAATAATCCTGTAGATGTGCTGCATGATCAAGTATGGGAAACTATTCCTTGGAAGAAGTTGCAGGTTGGAGACATTGTCAGGGTAAGTCATTTATTTGTCTTTCTCGTTTTCTAAACAAGAGATGGGAGAATAACATTCCCACTGTTGGCCCTCTGTGCTTGCAACCTCAGTATTTTCTGTTCATTTTATATCCTTGTGTCCTGTTTTACTTTATTATTTGTTTAATTTTACTGTACCACTCCTAGACCTCCTAATATAAGTATTTAATTATTCGGAGCTATTAGAGCGGGATCCACTTTTTGGGGAATATGAGTGATTCAGTATGGTAAGGATACATATAAGGGGGTATGTTCTTCTCAGGATTTTTTTCAAAAATGTGTGGAGTAGATTTTAATTGGTGGGATGAGTCTATGGTAAGCGGCTTCCTGGGGCTGGGATGGAAGAAGGTGCTGTTGAGGAAGCATCCATTTTGCAGTGGTACCGTATAATAAGCGAGAGCCTGCACCAATAACAAATTCCGCAGTCATATAGGCTGCGTGACTAATACAGTTGTTTATGGGATTTTTGCTGTTAGTGAGAGTGGTAGTATGAGAACAGGATGGAGAGTTTCCTATTTCAAGTTCACTGGCAGTTACTATTCGATTTATCGTTCTTTTTCTTTGAACATTCTGTGATTGCTTATGGTTTTCTTTACTGTCGACTTCTTGAGAAATTTCTCAATCGCAGTTTACTCATAATTGTGACCTAAGATGTTCCATCCTTCACAGATTAAGCAGGATGGATTCTTTCCTGCAGATCTGCTTTTCCTAGCTAGTACAAATGCAGATGGTGTCTGTTATATCGAGGTTCTACTTTTTCCCTTCCATCAGCCTTGTTTATCGTTCCTTGTTGTAATTGCTATAATTAGTTCCGTGCTTATATCAGTGTAATTAATACCAGTTTGATACTTTTGGTATATCCCTTACTACTGGCAGACTTCGAACTTGGATGGTGAAACAAACTTGAAGATTAGAAAAGCTGTGGAAAGGACTTGGGATTATTTGATCCCAGAGAAAGCTGTTGAATTTAAAGGTGATGATCCAGAAATCTTGTATCAAGTGCATCTGAGCACATTTACGCTTCGGCTTATGAGATGTGAATGATACTCTTAAGTACGGAGTTAGAAATGACTAAAATTAAATTTAGTGTAGTTCAATAATTTAGGCTCTGTGCTGTTCCTTTCACATCTGTTCTATGAAACTTTATGGGTTTCTGACTCTATTTCGTTTCTTACTGATAACTTCTTAATATTCCTGTGTACTGGCTTGCTGATATTACTTTGGTTAATGCAGGTGAAGTGCAGTGTGAGCAGCCAAACAACTCATTGTACACTTTCACTGGCAATCTTATCATCGAAAACCAAACGCTTCCTCTTTCTCCAAACCAACTTCTGTTGAGAGTATGTCTTCTCTCTCTTTGTTTTGTTTACGGTTTTATGTTTAATCTCGTATCAATGAGTTAACCACATCCAGTGCTGTATCTTTGTTATCTAAATGATAAAATGATGATGAAATAACTGTGAACTTGTTGAAACTTGAGTTTTCTGCAGGGTTGCAGTCTTAGAAATACTGAGTACATTGTTGCGGCTGTTATCTTTACAGGACACGAAACAAAGGTTTGTACCATAACTCTCTATCTTTCACTCATAGCTTGCCGCTTCCTTATAAAAATACTTTTATCATTTGGATGACTATTTCAAATATATTCTTTAAATTGTATCAATTGGGAGGTGGTTGTGCCATGGACAAGTTTCTTTTTTGTGAGCGTTGTCCTGCACGCTTTTCATGTTCGTAGAATCTACTCACATTAGTTAATATGGCCATTGATCAAGTGCAGGTAATGATGAATTCCATGAATGTTCCATCCAAAAGGAGTACATTGGAGAGAAAACTTGACAAGCTTATTCTTACTCTTTTCGGAACTCTCTTTGGTATGTGCCTGGTTGGAGCCATAGGAAGGTTAGATATGACATCTGATCCTATTTTACTCTCCTTTTGTCCTGTTTCTGCCTTTCTGGTGGGTGTTGCTCTTAAGTGACAACTTCTTCTTCTGAGTTTCTGCAGTGGGATATTCATAAGTAGTGACTACTACTACCTTGAGCTTCAAAGAGGAGTAGGATTGGAGTTTAACCCTAGCAGCCGTTTTTCGGTACCCTTTCTCCCTTATGTTATTTCTATTTGAACGTCCACCTAGGGATGAAAAGGAGGAAAAGGCTGAAGGGGAGAGTTTATAATTCTCAACGGTATACTTGTGTATTTGTACAGGTTGTCGTTCTAACATTGTTTACACTACTCACTCTCTACTCAACAATCATTCCCATTTCTTTATATGTCTCTATTGAGGTGGGTTCGGCTTCCGTTATCATTAGTTGTCCATTGTCCCTTGGGGAACTTGTTAAGCTTGTCAACTTAATGGTCTTCAACTATTTTTCTAGATGATCAAGTTTATTCAGTGTGCTCAATTCATCAACAAGGATTTGCACATGTATCATGTTGAAACCGACACCCCAGCATTGGCTAGGACTTCGAATTTGAATGAGGAGCTTGGACAGGTAAAAGCTATATTGGGTGCATATGTGCTGATGATCATTGCAGTTGGAACTTAGTATAGGGCTATTAATATACATATTCCTTTGAAATTATGTGTTTTTCAGGTGGAATATATATTTTCAGACAAGACTGGAACTTTAACGCGGAATTTAATGGAGTTCTTTAAGTGTTCGATTGGAGGAGAGGTTTATGGAACTGGTTTCACTGAGATAGAGCGGGGTGGGGCACAAAGGATTGGTGCTAAGCTTCAAGAAGTATGCCTTGCTTCCATTTCATGATACAATGCATGCGTTTTGTCTTCAAAGTGATGCATTTTTTTGGTACTGTCCTAATGTTCTGAAGACCAGGACAATGTTCAATCATTGCAGGCACAGAGATCACCCCATGCAGTGCATGAGAAAGGGTTCAATTTCGATGATTCTAGGATAATGCGAGGAGCTTGGAGGAATGAGTCTAATCCTGATGTATGCAAGGTGATATACTTATTCATCAGCACTAGAAGCACTAAACCTATAAGCTAGCCATGTGGTTGTTGCATGCCTTTCTAAGCTCCGGAGGAAATACCCAACTTTTGTTGTGGATTGTCAAGTGATGATTGATTATATAAGTGTTTCTGTAGTTTAGTTTTTATTGGTTTCTTGTAGATGTCCCAGTCTTATTTTTTCTTTTGGTTCATGTCTTGCAGGAATTTTTCAGGTGCCTTGCTATATGCCATACTGTACTTACTGAAGGTGACGAGTCCCCTGACAAGATTACATACCAAGCTGCATCTCCTGATGAGGCTGCTCTTGTCACTGCTGCAAAGAATTTTGGTTTCTTCTTCTACAGGTTGACAACTGCAATGATGCTGTGTTCTGCATTTTCTCTTCTCCTTGTGAATTTATGAGCTTACATTTTATCAGAGAAGATGTTCAGTTCAAACTAGATGTCTAGGCTAGCCAATCTGTCATCAGTGGGAGGAAACCAAATACTGATTGCTAATGGTTTCATTTCGTCAGGCGTACCCCTACTATGATATACGTTCGTGAATCTCATGCGGAGAAGATGGGGACTATTACAGATGTTCCTTATGAGATTTTGAATGTTCTCGAGTTTAACAGGTGGAGACATGTCTTTCTTGGATATGAGTGTTTAGTTTCTGATTTGTTGCTTAATATTTAACTTCTGTATCTTTTTTTTTTTTTTTGAGTTTAGCACAAGGAAGCGACAGTCCGTTGTTTGTAGGTACGCAGATGGTAGACTTGTATTGTACTGCAAGGTGATGCTCCTATGTAATTGGTCTTCTAAAAAGATTACATTATCAAGTAAAATCACGGTGGGAATGGTCCTTTACTGAAATCCTGCTTTCTCAGGGTGCCGACACTGTAATTTATGAGAGACTGGCTGCCGAGAGCGATGAGCTTAAGAAGATAACTCGGGAACACTTGGAGCAGTTTGGATCTGCTGGGTTGCGTACTCTCTGCCTTGCCTATAAGGATTTACACCCAGAAACATATGAAAGCTGGAATGAGAAGTTTATCCAAGCTAAATCTTCTCTTAGAGATCGCGAGAAAAAGCTTGATGAGGTAGTAGAGTGACTTCTTGTCAAGTTTATCTATAAGTAAAACTCAACAAGCTTCACTGCCTAATCTTTAGCATCATGAGTGTTTATATCTAGTTTTTGTTGGTATAGTAGTTTGTGGTGGTTGTTCTTAATGAGGCTAATTATGAAAATTATACAGGTGGCGGAACTTATAGAAAAGGATCTCATCTTGATTGGGGCCACAGCTATAGAAGACAAGCTTCAAGAAGGGGTACCAACTTGTATAGAGACTCTTGCTAGAGCTGGAATTAAGATTTGGGTCCTGACAGGTGACAAGATGGAAACTGCAATAAATATTGCTTACGGTGAGTTCTTCAGAGTGACCTAGCACTAATTGTTTGTTTGGACTTGTGCCTGTTTACTGTTACTTGACTCATCTCTTTGGTTGTTGCAGCTTGCAACTTGATTAACAATGATATGAAACAGTTTATCATCAGTTCAGAAACTGATGCGATTCGAGAAGTAGAAGAAAAGGTGAATAGTTACTCCATCTGTTTGACATTAGATGCATATATAATATATATTAATATTTCTTCCCAACTACTGGGTTTTTTGTAATATAATTGATAGCTCTATTGATTGACTACTTTCTTATTTCAGGGTGACCAGGTAGAAATTGCACGGTTTATGAAGGAAGAAGTTAAAGGAGAGCTCAAAAGGTGTCTCGAGGAAGCGCAACACTCTTTGTGCACTGTATCTGGACCCAAGTTGACACTTGTTATTGATGGAAAGTGTTTAATGTATGCATTGGACCCTAGCTTGCGTGTAATGCTGCTAAATCTGAGTCTGAACTGCAGTTCAGTGGTCTGTTGTCGAGTTTCGCCTCTGCAGAAAGCTCAGGTATTTGCCTTGTGGAGCATCTTTTAATAATTTAGTTTTAGAATTAGATATTGAACATTCAATGAATGTTGGAGAAGCTTCTTCTTGTGCTCTTCGAGCTGGACTTTAACATGACATGAATGTTGGAGAAGCTTTAATAATTCAGTTTTAGAATTATATATTGAACATTGAGAGTGATGGCTGACAGTAAGGGTATGGGCATCTTAACTTCTAATATACAGCAGAGGATGATGTTTCAGTTTCATGCGCCTTGCTGGTTTTCTTTAGTTATTAGTTAGATGTACCACTTTTTGTGTTATGGTTGTCAAGAATATCCTGATGCAAGATGAAGTGTTCGTCCAAAAATGTTATCGTGCTATCTTGCTGACTTTCATGTAGCACACTGCCATTAAACTTCAAATGAACATTGTACTTTCAGGTTACTAGCCTAGTCAAGAAAGGTGCGCGGAAGATAACCCTTAGTATTGGAGATGGTGCTAATGATGTTAGCATGATTCAAGCTGCCCACATTGGCGTTGGAATAAGTGGGCTGGAGGGTATGCAAGCAGTCATGGCTAGTGACTTTGCAATTGCCCAGTTTCGGTTTCTTACAGATTTACTTTTGGTACATGGACGGTTGTCTTACCTCAGGATATGCAAGGTCTGATATGTTGGGTTGTTTGTGCATACATTTTCTATTTTTGAATCTTGATTCTTAATTGTTGCCATGATGTAGAAGGCTTTCCCTGTTCGTACTCTTGCATCCGGTTTATTTCAAGTTTTGACTTTTTTTGTTACAGGTGATCACCTACTTTTTTTACAAGAATCTTACATTCACTCTGACGCAATTTTGGTTCACATTTCATACCGGCTTCTCTGGTCAAAGGTTTTATGATGATTGGTTCCAGTCATTGTATAATGTCATCTTTACCGCTCTTCCAGTGATTATTGTTGGGCTTTTTGACAAGGCAAGTCTCTATTTTCAACCCTTTATATAAGAATTCTAACCTTGTTAGCACATTTCCATTCACTTACAACTATCAGTAGCTCGAGTAAAGCTGATATAGTGTTGAATTATTACATCTCTTCCAGGATGTTAGTACGGCATTGTCGAAGAAGTACCCTGAACTGTACAAGGAGGGGATAAGAAACATGTTCTTCAAGTGGCGAGTTGTGTGGACGTGGGCTTTTTTCTCCGTTTACCAATCTCTGATCTTCTATCACTTTGTGACGATCTCTGGTACTAGTGGTAAAAATCTCTCGGGAAGGATGTTTGGACTTTGGGATGTTAGCACAATGGCATTCACTTGTGTTGTGATCACTGTCAATTTACGGCTTCTTCTGATGTGCAATTCAATAACAAGATGGCATTACATTAGCGTCGGTGGAAGTATTCTGGCATGGTTTGTCTTCATTCTTATCTACTCACTGCTACGGGTAAGTCCTTTTGTGGATGGAGACTCTTGTCTTCTGAAGTCACCATTTCATTTTGGTTAATTTACAGCTTTCTAAGATTCTGGCTGCTGGCATTTCTTTCTGCAGGAGAATGTTTACTTCGTCATTTATGTTCTGATGGGGACATTCTATTTCTACCTTACAATAATTCTTGTGCCCATTGTTGCTCTTCTTGGAGACTTCATCTATCAAGGGTGAGTTCATTCACCCCACAGTTTTCTTCCCATAATGCCAGTCACCTGTAGCCTGTGTGCAGTTTTACAATAATGGCTTCTTTGTGAACCTTGTATTGCTGCAGGGTGGAGAGATGGTTCTTCCCATACGACTATCAGATAGTACAAGAGATGCACCGAAATGATCCCGAAGACAACTCAAGGGCTGGGTTATTGGAGATTGGGAACCGCCTGACCCCACAGGAGGAAAGAAGCTATGCGATAGCTCAACTACCAAGAGAGCTATCCAAACACACAGGCTTTGCCTTTGATTCCCCAGGTTACGAGTCGTTTTTCGCTGCCCAGCTGGGTGTCCACGCCCCCCAGAAGGCGTGGGATGTTGCCAGAAGAGCCAGCATGCGGGGGAAGCCAAAGCCATCGAAGAAGCACTGAATGAAGTTTCTGGGAACACAGATGTGTTGTACAAAGAAGAATTTTTGTAGTCCGTCCTCCACAGCTTGCTGACTTGATTGAGATATCCCTTAGAAGTAAAAGGAAACGATAAGTTTGTATATTTATTTAGATGCCTATAACCTGTTTGAGAAGAGTCCCCACCCATATTATCCTCAGTTTCTTGGACCATAGATGTATTCTTTGGAGGGGTTTAGCCGTGTCATTATTAGGGTATTTTTGTCCCAGCTGTACAGCTAATGTTATATTTTTAATGGAATACACACAAAATCCATTGTTCTGAAGAAGTTTGATATAGATCCACCATAACCATCTATCTTGTCGGTAAATCTTTTACTGTTTGTGAATTAATGTAGCCTACTTTGATGCAGTTTCTGATGTTCAGAAAGTTGCTGTAACTGCTTCAAGTCGGAGAGATTGGACACGGTATCTAATACCAAAAGCAATAGGAAGCATGCATTATTCATCGGTATTCTAGTTATGGAGACTGTAAGAGTGTGCATTCAGTTCTTCCAGCTGGGGCGTGATTTGAGGATCATGAGGTAGGAAGAGGAACCAACTAGCTTCTCTTGTATATTCGAAGAAGATCCAACCAATTGGCTTCTTTTTCTTGCTCATTTGTAATGCTATCAGGTTTGACATCACGCTGTGACACTGTTACGACAGTGTTTGCCATCCATCAATAAGCAAATAAGCAAGTGCATGGGTGATAGTGATGACAATGGGACAGGATGGGCGGATACCCTAATACCCAAATTCGTCCCGCATCAAGTGCGAATAAGATTTTGTAATACCCGTATTCATTTGTTGGAAACTCGGTCTTTATAAGTTTTTCTTATTATTAATAGTAGGATAATTATTGTTAAGATTAATAATATTCGAGTACTAAAAAGTTATTTATTGGGTTTAGTTTAGTATTTCCTATAAATATAGACTTTGAATTTACATCATAATAAATTAAGAAGAATGTTAAAAAAAGTCTCTTTAATTCTACCAAAAAAAAAAGTCTCTTTAACCCTAATCTCTCCTACTTCTCCCAAATCTTGACCCTTCTCTCCTCTAAAGGCCGGCAACCAATTCTTCTATTCTTCCCTAATTATATTCTTCAATCTCTAATCCCTAAATCTCCTTCTCAAATTCCTTAAATCATTATAATTAATTTTCTCGACCCCTCCCTATTTCTATGCCATAGCTTCTAGAATTTCTACATCGCATTTGTTGAATTGGAGCAGAAAGGCGGCGCCGCATTAGCAACATTTTTATGCGCATGATAATTTATTATTATATATATTATACATACATATTGTTCTCACTTCTCAGTGTTCGATGGTCTCCTCTTGTTCTTGACTTCTTGTCATTACAAAGCATGAAAGGTCATGTCAATCCGAATTGCAAAATGGAGGTATATATATATATATATATAATGCATGAAAGTGATCCATGTCAGAATCTTAGTTCCTAACTTAAGATTTATATACTGCACTCACTGGAGCCAAAAGGCCAGGGGACAAATTCCCACCCATACCAAATAACTCACTTTTGTAATCTTTTCATTGTAACTTGTCCGATTCTAATAGGCATTTTGCATACCAGCTTGCAATGTTTTCGTCCCACACTTGACCTACAAGCCTTCATACAACTTGAGCTATCTATATATGTTATGGCATTGGATTCGGTTAGATTGTCACAACCATCAAACGGAAAGGAAAGAAAAAAATGTTGGTAATTTGTTTTGCTTCATTGGTTTATGGGAAAGGAAAGGTAGAAAATCATATCCTACAAATTCACATCATCCACCCTTCATTTCGTTTTCAATCTAATGACTAAGATTAATTTGCACAAAAAAAAAACTAATAGGGTCGGATTGATAATTTTGCCACTCCTGCATTTTTTCTTTCTAATAGTCTGATGTGAAGATGAGAGAGAGGAGACAGTTGACTTGTCAAAAACTAATTTTTCTAAATTCTGACTTTTCTTAATTGGATCCTATAGCATTCGTTTTAACTCGGAATAAAATTATTTTTGCATAGAAAGACCGTATTAATTATGATATACACAATGATTGTTGTATGATGGTTTAATTCATCTGCATAGCCATAACTTTCACGATTTTGACAAATATAGCCACTTTTCGAAAAATACACAGATATAGCCACACTTCTAAAACTAGTATGACAAATTTAGCCATTTCCTTTAAAAACAGTAACGTCGTTAGTGATTCCGTCAATAACGTAAGCATTATACTGATGTGGATGCCACATCAGCCCCCACATCAGCTCTTGCTCGCCACGTCATATTTAAATTTTAAAATAAAAAAATAAAAAATTAGGGAGTGGGAAGCATCTTCTTTTTTATGGAGTGGGATGCCCAGATTTACTTCTCCGATAAATGATTTTCGATCCAACATGGTGCAGAGAACTCTCTGTTATTAATCGGTTTCTTTTTACATTCGAGTTTAAAGAGTGGGAAGCATCTTCTTGACTCAACTTCCTTCTTGCCTCGTCCCTCCTTCCAGTGAAATCAATTTCTTCGAGTCTTCCTCGGAAACCCGATATCCCCCAAGCTCGACCACCACCATTACTCCTCCCACTCTGCCACCTCGCTTCACCTTGGGTCGTCTCGCCTCCCAATCAATTCCAATCTGACCCGACCAGAAGACTCTCTTCATCCTCTGAATCTATAGATAGTCCCAACCACGAGAAGACTCTCTTCATCCTCTGAATCTATAGATCTGGCGCTATCTGGTCGTTGGAGAACAAGGCCCGATTGCATATTGTTGTTGAGTACGAATAAGCAGATTGTTTGTTGCTTAGTGTGAAATCGTCCTGCCAAGGAGGAAAGTTGAGCCAGCACATCGAGGAACTCAAGCATTCAAATCCTCTACTTATATCTGGCATTTTTAATTGCCATCGGGGAAGGTACAGTTGCGCCTCCAAAATCGTCTCCGCGTCATCATCGCTGGTGGGAAGTCTACGGCAGAGGGCGGCGGGGCTTAGTAATCGGAGAAGATAAAGGAGATGAAGAGAGACACCATAATTTGCCCAAATCTCCAATTTCGGCTGCAAAAACTGATGGAGAACGAGTTGTGGCCGAATTTCCAAGTTTCATCAGCGTCGATTGGATTTGGGATATTGGTTAGGGATTTAGGAATCTGAAGCTTTTTTACTCTTGGTCTCCTGTTTGCAGATTTCCGATTGAGTTTTGGGGCTAGAGATACGAGGATTTTAAGGTTTGGGAATTATGTGAGGAAGTTTTATTTGATGGTTGCCTTTCAATGGCGGAGAAGCAGCAGCACAAGAAGAAGATGGATGGGGGTGGGGTGGGACGGAAGGAGAGGATACGAAAGAAGAAGAAGAAGGGGAAGAAGATGGATGGGTGTGGGGTGGGATGGAAGGAGAGGATACGAGGGTAAGGGTAGGTAGGTGAAAGGGTAAAGTAGCTTTTTGTTTTTTTTTTAATTAATGAAATTTAAAATATATTCCACCTGGCATTGCCACGTCAATGAAAAATCACCACGTCACCAACAATCATTTGTCCAGTCAGCAGTCGTGATAGTGCCGTTAAACTTTTGGACGGAATGGCTATATCTGTGTATTTTTTGAAATGTGGCTATATTTGTCAAAATCGTGAAAGTTATGGCTATGCAGGTGAATTAAACCTTGTATGATCACCCATCTTCTTCATTTTAACTCAGAATTTAAATTCTTTTATAAACAAATAACTTATTATTTATGATCTACACAATGATATATATTTAATTAAACATAAGACCTCATACTAACATCATATCATGATACCGACTCTGATATAATTTCATCAAATTATTTTGACAAACATAGGACCTCATATCGACATCATTTCACTAATGTATGTACATCATATTAATATAGTACCTCTATCATATATATGAGCATCATACCACTATCAGTGGTAATTTCGTGATCTGACAGTGGTAAGACTCATCTCCTTCATTTTAACTTAGCATTTAAAAAGAAATATTGTACACAAAGAATTTAAAAAATGTTACTAGTGTTTGATTGTTCGAAAGTGAAAGAAAATAAGATGTGTGTTTTCTTGTGTTTGTTGGTTCACTGAGGGAGTAGATTCATTTTTTCATCTGTAGAGAAAAAAGGAGGTTAGAAGATGAGAGTGAAGGGTAGATGGTAGTGTTCGGCTAGGATTTCTCCTACCCATCACTTTCCTTTTATAATTAAATTCTCGAAAAAGACAATTATGTACCTTGCCTTTTTCCAAATCCTCAAACCTACCACCTTTCTCTCTCTTAGGCGGGTAGGCGGTTAATCACTAAACTAACCGCTAACTGCATAGATAGTTAACAGTTAACCGTTAAGTCTTGGTGGTTAATTAACAGTAATGATTTTTTGGTTGGCAGGTAATCGTCAAACGCATTATCGGTTACCAGTTGACCGCTAATCGACCTGACTATCGCCCCTACCGATATCACCAATATCATCGAAGACGCGACGACGTTGTACCCACTTTCATGAAACCATCCTTCAGTAAACCTAACAAGTGAATCAGTTTAGGATGCAACTGGTGTGTATCCTCCTCCAAAATCTGAAACATCTCTTTTATCAACTCAACGAGAGCTTGTCAAGCTCTTTATTTCAGAGAAATCATATTCCATCTCACATCAAAGGGTTCCAACTTAGCTTAAATAAAGTTTTCTCTCAATGGTACTTATTTTGGACTAAAATATGGGTTTTGGTTATTTAAAAAAAATGACAATGCTGAAACTAGAAACGACGCAACAAAGCGAGTTTTATGTGGTTTCTTCATTTGTACCGAACAAGATTTGTACACGGTGAGCTAAAACTCACAATTGAGTTTTTATTATTTTCTAGAAAATGAAGACGAGAGTATAATGAGAGAGATATGTATCAGCTGTTAACAGATACAAAGGTCTTTTATACACAAGCATAACCGAAAACCCTATTCACTTCTTCCAATTTTCGTCGGGAATAAGAAAGCTAATCCAACACAAAAAGTATTAGAAAATTAATAAAATAGGAATCACAATTATCCCCCTCATTCAGAGCCATAAAGATCGAACATGTCAAGTTTGGATAAGAGATGGAAATGATAAACTCCTAGCCCCTTGGTGAACAGATCGGTTTCCTGATCATCAATGGAGATTTTTTGGGGAGAAATGTCGCAAGACTGTACACGTTCACGAAAAAAATCATAATCAATCTCTATATGTTTGGTCTACTCATGAAAGACAGGGCTGACTACAATGTATACATTTGTCTGGTTGTCACAGAATAACAAAGTGGGATGTCACAGAGTGGGACCAACGCTGGGGAGCACCAATCTAACTGAGAAACCAATGAAGCCACATGATTTCACTGACGGTGCTGGCACCCAACCGACAAAATAGCAAGTATTCGACAAGCAAGTGATGGGCCAACCAACCCAATCAATGTAACAATAATTGGTTAAGACAAGAGAGCTATGAGTGGGGGAACATATATCGCGACTAGGAGAATCCTTCATGGTGAGACTTCACGAACAAAAATATAAGACCGACAATGATACCAATGCTTAGTTTCAAAGCCTTGACGACAAAGGAATAACCAGGCTTCCTTACAACACTCAAATGATCAAGTGTGAATCATTGCACAAGCTCTCATGGTGAGACCTTGATAAGCTTTATCGGGTACCATTAATATAAACCTTAGGGAAGAGTCATGCCATCTTTCTTCAAAGCGGAAAGGAAGCTCAATTACCCAAGAAATCAAAGAGCAAGAAATTCACTCAAAAAAAGCAATTAGTGCTTGAAAAGGTTAAGAAAAACGAGAAGAATTGGGACGACAAGGTTCAGGTGGATGAAGGGGTTCATGCTCCAAAGACAAAACCTCTGGTAGCTAAGTACGAGCCCAAACTTAACTCTCCGACTGAACTTCACCACGATCAATTGAAAGGGAACTTTGGGAAGTTCATGGCGATTTTAAGACAACTTCACATCACCATGCCCTTCATTGATGTCGTGACCATGGTATCCAAGTATATTTGGTTTCTCAAGGAGCTTATCAGCAACAAGATAAAGATGGAAGGGTTGTCTACGATGAAACTCAATGAAGAATCTCAACAATCACCCACAATAAGCCCCGCCAGTTTTGCAAGAATTTTGACACTTAACTATCCCTTTTTCTATTTGCACTTTGAATATTTTAAAGTCCTTAACCGACATAGGAGCAAACATAAATGTCATGCCATATAAGATGTTCAATAGGCAAGGTTTAGGTTCACTTGGTCTCACCGATATGAGTGTTTAATTAGTGGACCTAGTTGTTTTAAATCCTAAAGGCATAATGATGGAAATCACGAAATTGGGGAGTCTTCGATAGGGTTCAATAATTGGGAAATTGGATTTATAATCGAGATTTAGGGATTGAGAACGAGATTTCAGGAAGAACATAATTAGGGATTTGAATATAAATTATGGATTAGGAATTGAAGACTGAAATTGGAAAAATTGGGTAGGATGGTCAGGACCTTTAGAGAGAGAAGGGCTGAGATTTAGAGGATTTGAGAGAATTAGGGGTTGTGTATAATTTTCTATAAAATTTATTCAGAATCATAAATGAACGCCCAAGTACAAATTTATAGGAAAAGAATTAAAAACCTAATATTAACCCTCCTACTACTTGAATACTAAACTGAATAATAATAAAAAACAATGTTGGAAACCCGGTTTCCATCCTATAGTCGAGGATATCTTGGTATAAATTTGGTAATTTTGTCTTCCTTTTTCATTTCATAGTCTTATAGATATGAAAGAAGATGAAAATGTTCCACTTATACTTGGTAGTAGGGGTGGAATCTGGTCCAATCTGGTTAAACTTGACCATAATAATCCGATTTTCATTTACACTTATACCAAAACAACAATGAAAGACCAGAACATTTGATAAACAGTTTTAACTCTAACCGGTTGAAAGAGTTGCGTTTCCATCTGGTTATAAAGCAAAGAGAAAGAGAATTAGTGATTAAGTGGGAAGATGGGTCATTTTTATGTGCCCTAGGTTGGCTAGGTTGTAGATTGGGCTTGGATTAGGTTGGAATCCGGATAAGGTGACTAAGGCTTTTTGCATTATGTTATCTGTACCCAAGGCATTACACATCTCTCAACAAGGATTGTGTGCGGTGTAGCTTTTGGTAAACGTAGCTGCATGAAAATACACAAACCCAGAGAAAGGAAAAGCGAAAAGGAGAACCAAAGATATCGTATGCATGGAACATGGGGGACCTTATACATACATATATTTATATATGCTCGTATTTTTTTTACGAGTGGTGTAAACTGTAAAGCACCAATTCCAATTCCCCAAACAAAAAGAAACCGAACCCAAACAGTAAAGAAAAGAACAAACCGAATCCCTCCCATCTATAAAAGACTACCAAACCTACCGCCAATATCCCTTGGAACTTCCCACAAACAAAAATTCTTTCCCTTAATTTGCCTCATCTTCTTAATTACCATCCTCTTTCGCCACTTTCTTAACATATAGAGTCCTTAGTTGGTTTATTAGTTATACGTAGTTGAAGGGAGAAATTAAGATGGGTAGAATAAGAAGAAGAAGAAGCAACACATCATCGACCGTACTGTTGTGTGTGTGGCTTTTGCTGGTTGGGTCTAGCTCGGGGTTGGAAACCGGTTCGGTTAGCATCACAAGAGCAAGCTTCATCAGACGGGATGACGTGGAGGTGGTTGGGAAAGGGAACCAGCAGCTTGTTCATAAAACCGAGTCCAACCTCAACTACATGATGAGCAAGAGAAGAGTTCCAAATGGTCCAGATCCCATTCATAACAGGTACATATATAGACTAGCCAATATTATGTTGCACTTATTTGGCGTATGTAAACAATCTAATTCGTAAACAGACTTGTCACCCTATTTATATTATCGTCGAGGATAATATAAACATGATGAGTAGCAAGTCGTTTTTGTTAAAAATGTTATGTAAAAGTGGAGAACATTAATTTTTCTTCTTCATTTCTCAATATATGGTCTGATTGAGGGAAATAATATAATGGATTGATTACTGTTAGATTGGAGCGACCAAAATCGTTGGAATGGTATGGTTTAAGATATGGGAAATCTACTGGGAAAGATATGTGATAGAAGGAGAAAGGAGGGGTGATTTAAAGAATAATAAATAATATAGTTTAGTGTCTTGTCACTTTATTCGATTCGTGGCCCTTAAACCTGTTTATTCAAAGCTAAGTAACATTTTTATAAAAAAAAGAATTGTTATGGTTCTTCATATAATATGCCTTGTGCTGCCCTTTAAGCTTGCCTTTTTCATGCTCCAACTTTTGCTTTTCTTTCCTCTCTTTTTTTCTTCTTCTTAACTATTAGGACGTAAACCAATCATCTTCATGCAAGGTTTGTGTTATGGTCCATCAATCACCCACTAAACCTAGCTAATTCGACATAAACCAATCATCTTCTTGTCGCTTAAGATTCTTAGTGACTAACTTAGTATTCTGTGTGGTTGACATGATGGATACGTGTTGTTTTCGAATTAAAATATGGTCCACTATTTTATAATCAGATGACATAAATATATATATAGTTGGGGCATATATATGCATAGTTAACGTGCAATACAAGCCCGAATGGAACGGTCGTTGGTATAGATCTTGATGATAGTAACCAATATTATCTTTGAAATTCGAAGAAATGAAATGTATCATATCATCCCGAGATGATTAGGACCATTTTCTCTATATACCATGCATTTATCTTATCATATATAGTCATGACATTAGTAGCCCAGCAAAAAAGTGAGATAGAGTTAGAAATCGAAAATAGAATTTTTTATTTTTTATTTTGGTTCAGTTTCATATGATTGAATGTAATTTATACCTTAGAGGGGGGGAAAGGCTGGTAGCACCCATCTTGCACTTTTCATTGTTTGATTAACATATTCGTGCCAAAATATAGTCTAACATAATATCAAATATTATACATGCATAGTTTTCATTACTCCATTTACTTGCATATAGTTGTTATGGTATAGATTTCATATATGCGAGGAAAATTAAGCAAACGCTTATGTATCTGAACTTTGGTGATTGATCAGGAGAGCTGGGAACTCTAAACGGCCACCTGGGCGAGCTTAGAAGCTGCAAATAAAGAGAAACTTGCTAGCTATAGCTTCACGATCATCATCAGAAGCTGCCGCGCGCCATAGGCAAAATTTAGAAAAGGGAGAGCTCACAGGAAGATCAGTGTCATGCATCTTGTGAATGCATGTAATATTCTTTATTTTGATCCATGATCGTTAATTCATAACAAGGTGGTTTTATTTCATTTATCAAAGGCACAAAAAAAAAAAAAAACAAGAATCTTTTCAGATATCATATCAACATACATAATCTCGAAGGAAAATCAAACAAACAAAAATCACAAGGATGAGGAAGAATAAAAACATCGAAAACTTGAAAAGAAGGGAATGAAACTATGAAAGCATATATATTGGAACTGGGAACCCTTTTCCTTATAGTTTTTGCAGGGAATTTGTGATGGAGCTATGTGTGGTATAGAGAGGGGTTACAGTACTTTAATATATAATCCGCAATTATAATGTGTATTCATATGCTAAAAAAATGTGAATTACGTACTAGTCCCTCCCATCTTCTCAAATAATTTAGGTTGAATAAATGTGACATTGTTACAATTTTTTATTTCTAATTAACCACTACTCTTAATTACTCTGAATCCCGATTGTGCCATTTCATGGAATTTATAAAGGTATATTTAGGGAGGAAGGACAAATACCCAAATATCCATTTCAATCAATTCAAAGAATTCTTTGCCAAGATTTTAATCAAATTTATGGAATGTTAGCATATATATGAGTTCCTAAAGAACTAAAGTAAAGTGGCCACTACCAAAGATTTAAAGGTGGGTGTGTTTGTTCTTGTTCTTGTTCCAGTGTGTTGGGTGTTGGTCGTTTTCTCTAGATTCTTTTGTTGCGTTTTGCCTGTTTTGGTCTTTTGGACCATTCAAACTTGTTTTGAACAAAAGGACCAGATTTTTACCTGATAAGTATATATTCATGGGAGAGATTCTACATGTGCTAAGCTCTTGTGGCAATCAAAATGTTCTCCCCCAAGCTTTTTCCCCATGCTTTTTTTTTCCGCTTCTTTTCTCCTCCTTTCCTTTTCTGTGTGTTTATTGTTTTAATTAATTTGGATTTGAGAGTTTAAAGTTGGGAGATTCAAATGAGTTATGTGCTCTATAGTAGAAAGCTTTGTATAGTGGTTATATATGTTTTTGTTTATAAAATTTTGAGAGTGATGAAGACTCATCCATTTTCATAATTGAAGTAGAACAAGAAGCAATTCCTCCGTCCTGTCCCCTCTGATGATGCGTCTCGGAGACACTAGAAACTGTTTCGCTATTTAAATCACCTGTTTTCTGAGCTTCGAAATCGATGTCGGAATTGAAACCAAAACGTAATCGTGCTGGTTGATTCTCTTCGAGATTAATTTATGAGGATATATCACCGAGAGTTCTTTTTATATTCTGAAGAGTTCGACAAAATAACTAAAATAAGTGTTTTTTATGAGTAAATCTAGCACACATTCATTAAAAACAAGAAAGGAGGATGCATGTTGGTGTGTCAATGGGACTAGATTAACAACACCAAGCCATGCCCGAATATCACTCTAAAGGTGGGAATTTGAATTCAATTTAATATATCCACTAAAAATTAACTAATTCAATTCTAATTCACTAGATTGTTGTAAGTTTATAATTTAGCACCTATATATTTAAAATTTAAAATTTGATACCTAAAATTTGATTTTCTAAAAAAAATATACTTAAAATTAAATTATGGCACCTGATTTTTTTGGAATGACATTTAGTATTTGAAATTTTCAAAATTTTCATAATAATATAATAGTTAAATGTCATTGGGGTCCATGAATTAAGTTTACGAATCCATTTAATCAAATACATTAATTCACAAATTCATAAATCCAATCCAATTGCTACCACTACTCGATTACTCCTAATCGAGTGTTTTCACTCATACGAGTTTCGGGCTTACAATCCTATTGGTAATCACCACCGGTTTTTCTTGGAATGATCATCTGTCCAAGTTGAATGTAAGAACACATAGTACCAACTCTCATGCCTTACTACCTAAGCCAACTCATTGCCTTAGTAGTTGAGTAGCTCAACTTCAACCAGTCAGATAATTAAGCATCCAAGTCAAGTCTCCCATCGACAAGGGAGTTTGTGAAGCGTAGTTCCCTGTTCTAATAGTTTTTTTTATACTGGTGATTGAAATGCAATGAACGAAAACCAAAAAAACCAAAGAGTCTGAGTAGCGGAGGTTCACAAGAACTGAACCAAACTCCCCACAAATACTTCAAGAATAACAAGAAACAGAAAAAGAAAACAGGGAGGACAAAGAACAAAGGACAAGAGAGACAAAAAGGACCAGAAACACAAAGCTAACGTAGCTAAATGGATCGAGCCATTCCTGTTAGGAAAAAAACTCTTCAAAACAAAAGCAAAAGAGAAACCAGTAACTCAGCAAAGAGAGGCCGAGAACCATTCCACTCTCCAGACAAAGGCACTCCAAAAACGGCCAGAAAGTGCAAAGGCAAGAGTAAGCCAGCAAACCGCAAAAACCAGTCAATAAGAAATCCACAACCAGCTGAAACCCTGGGACGAAAAGACTAGTTATAAGCACTGCAGCTTATCCTCAAACCACTGCAATCCTTGAGCTTTATCCAGTTTTCCAAAAGCAATAGCCCACTCCAAAGCGTCCCTTAAGGCCTTGCGAGTAACGATTCTTGGATGCAAACGAATATTTTGAAAAACTCTCCTATTTCTTTCGAGCCAAATCTACCAAAACACAGCATGAAGAGCGCCAAAGTGAATCCAACTGTCCACACTTGCTGCAGTACTGGTAGGCCACCTTCAGATAGCAACAAGAATGTCCCTAGATGGAACCTCAATAATTCCATAGACCCTCTTCAGTCTAGTCCACACCTCCTTAGCAAACTCACAATGAGCAAAAATATGATCGATATTTTCTTCTTCCTTATTACAGAGCTCGCATCTGTTAGCAAGATGTCATCCTCTTGTCTTAAGATTATCAAGAGTGAGTATTCATTTGTGTGCCATAAGCCAAACAAAGAAACGGACTTTTGTGGGAACAATCTGCCTCCAAACAGACTCGTTCGGGAACTCTGAAACTCCCTTGAACATCTCATCCGCTAAGAACCTGTACATAGAACGAACATAAAAAGAGCTTTCTGGGTTGGATAACCAAACCGGCATAAAAGGCCCGCTAGTCACACAACTGGACTCTATCGAATTAAGCAAATTCATTAAATCAACTCTATCTCCCCCCCCCCCCCCACCCAAGATTAATATGGCAAGGAACATTCCAAATAACATTCTCACCAGAGAGGGACATGGCGTTTGAGATCCTGGCATTCGGAAAGCTAGAGGCGGCATGGGAAAGCATCAACAAGCACCACTTCCAGAATCCATCTCTCATGCCAAAATGAAACCCAAGCGCCATAACAATGGGCCTCTTCTTGAAGCCACGCAAGTTGTTCTTCGTCTATAACAATGGGCCTCTTCTTTCTCGTGTCTTGCACTTGGAACCTATATCCATGCACTTGGAACCTATATCCAATCTTTCCTCCAAAAAGTCATTTGCTCAAACAGACCATCCTAGACCCCATTTGAGTTGCCCGCCGACAACTTTCTCGAGAGTCGCCTCCATCTCTAAGCCTCGACACATGGGACCTGCAAACAGAAGAAACAGACCATAGCCCCTCCCTATCCCAAGCACTCACCCTCTCGGAATCTCTCGCACTACCAGGAAGTCTTGCAAAACCCTCATTAGCAACATTCGCTCACCCTCCCTCTCTCGCTCGCCCTCCTTGTGCTTATAGTGGATTTTAAGTTTTAACCCTATCATGGGTGTTTTTAGGGGTGTTCAAACGGAGTGCTTATCATGATAACCGTTTTAACCAGTTGTATTTGGATAATTTGGTTTGGTTAATTAAGATGATTGGTCTGGTTTGGTTAAAAAAATTAGCTTGTTTGGTATAGATGGTTTGGTTTAATTTGGTTTTCGACACTCTAACTAATCAAATCAAATTAATTAGTTAAGTAATTAGTGATATATCTAATATATATTACTATATTACATATATTCAATAATTTGCATAACAACTCAAGAACTACACTTTGCTCCCTTCTAGGCTCATATAAAAATAAAACTCAATATTGTTCATATATTGTATATTTGTATCGGTAGCGTGTAGACCATGATAAATAGATGTCTAATTTAGATAAAGCTCATGCATTATATTGGATGAAACTTGAAAGGAAGGTATTTTTCAAAATATAATAATTGTTAAGATACTAAGTCAATTTACACAAACACAACAATTCATTAATCTCATACCAATTGTATTAGTTGCATGTATTTATATTAAGGGTGAATTATAACTATGCATTGATTGTTATATTTTACTCTTCACATAAATTGTAAATTGATGTATTAACCGAAAATTTTCTCACTTAATGATAATGTGATGTTATATTGGTTAATCTGATTAACCAATTAACCAAACCGATTAAAATTTAATTTGGTCAGTTTAATTGTTGTATTAGTTTGGACGCTTTGATTACATATTGTATTTCATGATTAATAGAATTTAACATTATTTTGTTTGACAATTATCATGCTAACCATTTGAGGTGTGAGGTCGATATCATGGTAACCAGTTGAACAACCAGTACTTTTGTTAACATATGTTGGAACTAGTTCTTGTATGTAGTTGGTTAAGTCCAGCCTAGTTATTCTGCTAACTGCATAAGTTGTTAGTATTTACTAACTAATATCCAAAATGTATGAACTAGTATCCAAGTCTATTGATTTTACTAAATATCTAGATAGCAGAGACTAGTATTCAAAACATCACAAACTAGAATCCAGATGGCAGATATCAACTAATATCCACAATCAACCAACTAGTATTCAATATGGATACTCTTATGTGTTATCTGGATAATCTTATGTATAATATGGATAGTAATTATGGTACATTCCGGATCCTGCATGGCTCCTTACTAGTCTGTGTTGTCTAGATATTAGTGTGTGAATTTGGGATAATAGTTGATTCATGGTGGATATCAGGTAGCAAACCTTGAATACTAGTCTAAGCTCTCTATATACTTTAGTACTTGGATATTAGTTCATGTATTTTAAATATCAGTTAGTACCTGCTAATAAATCTTCAAGTTCGCAAATTAACTTTTTCCGGTTAAGTCTAGTACACCTTTTGTTGTGAGCAAATCTTGGAACTAATTATGGTACATTCCGGATCCTGCATGGCTCCTTGCTACACTACAAGACTCAGTTGCAACTTGCAAGGGTAGTGTGGTTGGATAGAAACCTGACATAACTCATTTTCTTAACATTGATTTTCTGAACATGTTAGTGAATTATTGAACACCAGCATGGCTCCTTCCACCAATCGATCATGAATCATTCTCAAGTACTATCACATCTGCGCTGATAAATAGTTAAGGAGAAAGGCTAGTCATCAAAATAATCAATTTCAGCATTACAGAAAGTCAGCCAACTGAATTTATTCCTACAAAACTGTAGAATCCTTTTACCAATGTGTCACCCAAGCTGGTGGAGAGTGAAGTGAACTGTACTGCGATTGAGCTCCTCGATCACCAAGAAGCCTTTTTCACACCATTCAACATCCCTTGATTTGCCAGTGTGCGGAAGACAATACGAGACATTCTAAAGAACTCGTAAACACCACGGGGGCGACCAGAGAAGACACATCGATTCCTGATTCGAGTGAAGGAGCTGTTTCTTGGCAACTTGGAGAGCTTTGCGGTGAGTTTCTCGCGCAGTTCGCTCGGAAGTTCAGGGTCTCTGATAAAAGCCTTGTACAGGTTTCTCTTCAGCTCGAATTTCTCTGCCAGCAACCGGCGGTTGTGATCTTTTATACACTTCGGCTCGTCCTCCCACATCTTACCAGTTCTCCAAACCTAAACCCAATAAACCATGAAAAAAAGGAAAGAAAACCAGTGTTAAAAGTCCTCCACTTGGAACACAAAATGCTTCCATCCGATCACAATCCAAAATTCATGAAAATTATATACGAATACATCTATGTATTGCAATCGTATTCGTATAACCCATTCCCATATCACAATACAAAGATCCCAGATGTGATTTCCCTGTACGTACTGATACTCTGTACTTTTACACCACAATTGCAATGGTGTAGTGACTACAATTGGGAATCTTAAGTTTTTCTATCAATCATTCTAGTATATACTTTGCAGCCAAAATAAATCTGCCTCCGGAAATGATATCAGAAGGGGCTTATTCGTATAACCCATTCCCACACGGCCACACTCCAAATCAAGAAATCAAACTTTCATTGACACATCACTTCCCTTCTCTGGGAGTTGAAAAAAACTATAAGAAGTAATTGAGAAGAGAAAAGCAACGGAGACGTGAGAAATGGAAAAGAACGCCAAGTAAAGACAATGTTCGAGTCTAAGAGTATTAACTAAGTTGGGTATAGTTTAAGCTGATTGACAATTTAATCACATTTCATAGCCATAAAATGGGTATAGTTTAAGTTAATCACCATCCTCCCTGGAACCTGGACATATTTCATAGCATCAAGCAATGTTGCACTAGCAACCAACTAACCTAGACATATTTGTAGTAAACCAGAGATAATGCTGCAGTGTTCGTTTGGGAAACCTTTACCTGATGCAGTACAATAGTTATAGGCAGAATCAAACTATGGCAGTATGAAATTGAACTAGAAACAGAAATGAATTCAATCAATGCATTTGGCTACTTGGAAAGGACACTGAAAGCCAGAAACAGATGGAGACGACAAAAAAAGGGAGCCGTAAACAACCTGCTCTTCTCAATTTGTCGGGAAAGCATAATTAACTCCAGATCACTTCATTCCTCATCAATCATCAGTTCAGCAAAATCGAGGGACTTACGGAGGCGACTGCGGTTGGTTGGAAGAGGAGGAGACCACGGCTGCGGAGAGGAAGAGTGAGGCTTGCGGCGGCTAGGGTTTTCAGAGGGGTCGGATGAAGGCGAGGAGGAGAGAAGCCTGCGACGGGAAGGGGAGAGAAGAGGAGAGCAAACGGCGGAGTGAGGAGGGTTTTCTGTAACAGCGAATCAGCGATAAGGATGAGCGAGATAGCTCTCTGGCTGGCGAGGGAATTGGAAGTAGAAGGAAGAAGAAATCGGGAGTTACAAATTACAATTACAATTGATGCTTAATGGGAAAATTACTATTGAGTGCCCAATTGATTGGACAAGTGAAGTTGAAGAGGTATACCTGTTTAGTCTTTAGTTTATGGCAGGAATGGCAACAAAATCCGAATCCACGGGTACCTTATTCGATCAAATTCAGTCAACGCGGGTAAAATTCATGTTGATGGGTTTTGGGCCGGGTTCGGGTATAAACCCGTTCATTATTTATCGGGTTGGGTTTGGGTTTAGGTACACCCGTTCCATGGGTACTCGCCCACACCCATATAATTAATTTTTCCGGTATATTAATACTCTAAACAACTAATCTTCTTTATGTTTGTGGAAACATGTCTAATTTTTTCTTTCTAATTGTGTAAAATGAAGTTGATATTATCGAGTGGAGAGTGAAGAAGTTTAATAAACAAGGAGGAAGAAGCTTTCAATTAATCATGTTGTTTATGGATAATTTGTGATTTGCTTCAATTTTCTTGAGTTTTCTATATTGGTGTTGAACAGTTTGTATGGTTAATTTGTGATTTGCTTGAATTTTCTAAAATGGTGTTCTATATAGTATATATGCATAATTTGTATTGAGATTGATATTTGACTTTTATTTTGATAGGAACTTGTTATTGTAAATTTGTTACGACAAAAACTCATGGGTACCCATGAACCCGCAGATACCCAAAGGGTTGGGTTGGGTTTGAGTTTTCCAAACCCAGTGGGTTTTACCCCGAGTTTTTTCCACGAATAAACCAATGGGTTTGGGTTTGGCAAAACCCGACCCAACCTGACCCATTGTCATCCCTAGTTTACGGGGATAAACCAAGTATCACAATTCCCACCGAACAGATAAGTTCATGTCTCTTTCATCTCCTTTTGCTACGAGGAACTAGTTTGGCGTCTAATCTGTTGGTCGAGATATTATTTGAATATACCATATTTATAATGTTATTCTAAAAATTTTAAATTTTTTAAAATATATATGTCTATGTAATAGTTAAATTAATTGTTAAAATCGAATTAAAGTAATCAAAATATGAAAAGCGAAATATCAAACATTTAAGAAATACTTAGTGGGCTGGCTAAATCATCAAATTGTTAAGATTTTAGGTTTTTATATGTTTTAAGTTTAAATTGGCACATTGATTTTTTTTTGTGAGAACACATTGATTCATTTAGTGTAATTGGTAATTTTTTATTTCTTGTCTGAACAGACTAGGTTCAAATCCCATGATTGGTATATTTTTTTTATGAATGAGAAATAAAAACTGTGAATACAAATTTATCCTTCCTACGTTCGCTCTCATTAGAGAAAATTTTAAACGCTAAATAACTACTCTCAACTCTGCTATTATATATTTGTAGATTGTCTTTGGCCACAACAATGGTGAGAACTGAGAACTGCACTGGAGGTTTGATAGGAGAGCTTCGCAGGAGAAGAAGGAGAAAGCCAGTCGGCAGATTTGTATCAATGGGAAAATTCCAATGTTATTGACTCGTGCCTAACTACAACTATCTCGATCAAAGGTCAAGTGCAACCTTCAACCGTGTGTAGTATAGAGCAAGTATTTCAAAAATATCAACTTGGGCGGTCTATCTATCCTTACTTCGATTAACTAAGCATTATCTAGCAATCCGATTGTTGTTTTAACTACTAAACTAACTAACAAGTAAATTGAGGTTGAATTCAATCGAGGAAACTTCACTTAGCATAGGGGAGCTCTAATATAGATAGGACATTCAATTCCAATTGTCCTATCCCGCTCAATTGCACAATTTGGAGAGGCGTACCAAACAACCGACCTAGGCAATTAAGGCAGCCAACACTACTCCAACAATTGGATAAAGATCCTATATGACACAAGGAATCTAATCACACTCATTCATAGACCCCCAAGTGTTGATTTGACAATGCTCTAAATAGAGCCTAAGGATGTATTCTCTCAACTAGTTAATTAGCCCCAAATGGGAGGAAGTGATTAGGAACCTTCAATTTCCATGAATAATTCACAAATCAATATTAATCAACGTGCAAATCAAAGCATAGGGTTCACAATCAATCAACAACAACATAATAAACTAGGGTTCTATAACATCCTAGTCAATTGGCGAACTACTCCATGGCTAGAGTGAAAAAAACAACCAAAAATAAGAAGACAATCACCATGATGAGAAGATCTTCCTCCTTGGCCGGTTGGGATGCTCTTGGAGATGAAATCAAGTTTCCTTAGGTAAGTAGTACTTCAAATCTCCTACGATTTGTTTATGTTCATCACTCACTCTAGTTAGGGAATAAGTCAAACTCCAATTACTCTTTCTAAAACTCCTCTCCTTTCAAATTTGATTCTCCTCCCTTCTATAGCCAGAAGCGCAGAGTTCACGGTTGCCCGTCACGACCGTGAACTTTGTGTAAAAACTGTGAAGTCGATCGAATGTGCACTATTTCACTAACGCACCTCCCGACCTGGTTGAAATCTTCACGCCCCGAGACCGTGAGGTCTGCAAATGCCCTTGAAACGTCTTGCTCTTCTTAGGATCATTTGATGTTTACTATTTGGTTAAATCTCCAAGTCGTGAGACCGTGAAGAAATGCCGTGAACCATTATCCTTGACTGTTTCAACCATTTCGTCCCTTTTTGGCTCATTTTCGTCCAACGCTCGATCATTTTGCCAATTTCACCTGCTAGAGTACAAAACACACTAAGACATGACAAAACATAGCGTAAATGACTCCAAGGACGATGTTACACAAAACGACAAAGAGAAAGGGTTATAAATATGTATAGATTGGGTCGAATCAGTTATAGTATTTATCACTCTTATATTTAATACATTTCCCCCTTCTATCAATGCATCTTTTGTAATTTCTACATGATTTCATATGAGTATCGTAACTATTTGAATTATGTGCTTAATATAGACCGTGAGTATATCTTTGTATTATTTTACAACTTTTGATGTTGTTTTGTGCTTTTCAAGGATACAATACACTCAAAAAGAATATGAATCATTAATGGATAAGAAGGAATATGATATTACAAGCATGTGGGCTCAAAGGAAAAAGGATTTGTAGATTGGAAACTCATTTCATGGTCCAGAGAAGCAGACCCAGTACAAAATGATTATCCTTGACGATGTCAGAATGGGTCTACTTAACACCAACTGTCTTGGATTCAATTTCATGAAGAGGTTGCTAGGCCCACAAGCAACCCAACCCATGAAGAAAATTAGCAATGACCCATGGACGGTCTCCACCGTCGCTCGGCTCTCAAGTTCTTGAAGCTTTTTGCTTCGACCCCAAAAGAATCAGAGTCCAAGTTGTACAAGGAAAGTTTAAGTCGACTTTAGTAGGGGGGAAAGTCTTGAAAACACCCTCATGTTACTAGTATAAATAGGGTTTTAGACTAGAGGTTTTAGAAACAACTTTACAACTAATGAAAACAACCCACCAGCAATCTGCTCCTAGGGCATGAGTTGGAGAGCCATAGAGAGGAGGCGAAGCACTTGAATTCGATGAGGAGGTCCTCACCATCGATATTACTCATTATTGATGATGTCTTCTATCTTATGTTTAGCTAGCTCAAAGTTGTTTATGGATGTGAAATTCTATTTTAGTAAAGTATCTTCCTATGATTCAATGAAAGGTTATAACTTTCTTTCCTCCCCGCCAATTGCTTTCCTCTTGTCCATACAGCCGACACACCGCCAACACTCATTTGATTGCCCACTTTGTGTCATGGTATATGAAAACCGTATCGGAGATCGTACTGGAAAAGTCAGCGTTAGGGTATTTTATGGTAAAACCGTGGTTTAGTCGTAGTTCAACCGTTATACCTTTAAATATCGCTTACCAATTTAGCCTTCGATACTGGTATTTCGTGGTTGAACCGTCTGTACGGTACGGTTTCATGGACACTGCTTTATGTACCATTGATGATGCAGTCAGTATTGATGTAGGTGTAGTTAAGAGAAAAGAGAAGATTTTGTTGTTTTCAGATTCAGAAAGAGGTGAGAGTTAGATCTTCAGTTGCGATTCTTTGTTTTACAATGTATTTGTTATGCTAGCCCAAAACTTACTACAAAGAGGTCCAAAATTCCAACATTGTACGCATCTGAACGAGAGAAGCAGAAGTTGTATAAACTGCTAAAACTCGTCATTCAATGTGACTACAAAGTACTGATGATTCAATTAAATACAGCATCAATTGCAAGAAAAACATCAACTACAAGAGCAAAAGATACAATACATACAGGAAAATTCCACAATACAGTGAAAATAAGTACAATATAATTCTCCTACTCTACAATACTACGGACCGCGCAACATGCTATGCAAGGGTTCAAAACCGAGAGTTCATTTGGATTCTACCTGCACCTGGCATAGTTCCTGTCTGCTTCTTCCGGTAGTACACGAATGAACCACTTGCAACCATGAAGAACAGCACAATGCCCTGCAGCAAAGATTCAAAGATCAGAGTTTCTAACTTTATATCAAGTTGAATTATTGGACTAGCAAGTAGCAACTACTGGTCTGATTCCAAAATTGTAAGGATGAAAACAACTGTCAGGTCTCAAGTGAATGTTTATTATCTGACTGCTGAGATATTTGTCTATGCTCTTCCTAGACACATTGTGTGGCTGAACCCCTTCCAACAACGTTCGGCTGAGTTTGTGAGCATCTTAACCCAGAAGAGCTTAAAACTTGTTTCTCAAGCCACTAATGCTCTCAGCAATCAGCATACCATTTGAACCACACACTAAAACGTTCGACAACTCTGGTCTAAAATCTACTGAGAAAACCAACTTATTATATATTCTACTATTCTAGACAGATAGCACATGCATTCTAGCCACAACTATGTAAGGGAGAACAATAACGGGTAAAATTATGCAGATCCTAATGGCTTGAGAAAGAGGAGCAAAAGACCAGTGTGAAATGCATCGTACACCTAACTCGGAAGTAGCACCACGAGAGCAAAGAATCTGATTCATTACATTGACATTTTTTTAACCAAAGCGTCATTTGGGTCATCTTCATCGCAACCCCTTCTCATACTTATTCTCATCCTATCCGTCTGGTTGAGTAAACATCAAATACCTGCCCGAAAGGACATTCACATACCTCAAAACCAAGCACTGAAACCTTCTCTTCATCGACAGGCGGTATACAACTTCTGTAAGTAATGTAAGCCTGTGATCCACTGCCATCTTGTTTCTTTGAGTCCTCCGCCAAATTTCTACCCTCGGTCGAAGAAGTCTCTTGATTTCTACTTTCATCAGACGTGTCCAGATCAGATCGATTCTTCTTAAATTTTCCTTGTTTTTCAAGTTTGACACCGTCCTTTATCTCCACACATTTCAACGGGATACGATACCCAGTCTCACTGCATCGGTACTTTGGCTCGCTCTGCTGAAATTTAGGGGACAAACAGCAAAAGAAACAAAACCCCAAGCTTGTTAAGGACATAGCCACAAAATCTCAATCAATAACAAGAGATCTGACACAGGAGCTCCTATTCCACACATTCAACATAAATCCGAAGGAACTAATCGAGATATCGATGAATTAGCCTAATCAAACAGCAAACAGTGGTAAAGACACTGAATTTCAATCCCAGAGGAAGACTAGCGCAAAACTGAGAGAACGAACCTTCTCTGAGTATTGGCAGGGTACGCAGGCCCCGGAAGGAGCGCAATCGAAGGTTGTGTTACTTCCGCTAGGCGTTTCCTTGAAACCGAGTAAAACTCTTCGACGGAACCCTCCATTGCTCCCGCTGCTTCAACGCTCGAGAGAAATGGAAAGAACATCGATCAGATAGGTTGCTCAAACGACGAAATCAAATATGAAGGAAGAGCAATGGGTCAGATATTTCAAGCTTACGTTCCGTGATCCGAAGGAGACGCTTTCAGCTCTGCAGAGATGGAGGTGCTGACGGAGAAGAAGAAAAGGGAGAGTAGGAGCAAAGGATTTCTCCGAACCATCTTTTCGACTCTTTGGCCTTCCTTTTCTCTGGTTTTGTTCCGCTCCCTCATGTGGGGTTTTCTTTCATTCCGTTACAGCCTGTTTGAATTGACAAAAAAAGTAAGGAATTGGAATTCCATTTCCAATTCCATTTCCATATATTATGTTTGGAATAATAAAAAGGTTGAGAATTGAATTCCAATGGGTCTAAAATATGGGAATTACAATTCCTATCAAAAGTGATGGGAATTACAATTCCTATCAAAAGTGATAGGAATTGAGAGAATGAAGATGGAATTAGTGGGACCCATCAATACTTTTTATTATTTTGTTGACCCACTATCATTTTACTCTCTTTCTCTCTCATTCATATTTCATTTCCCAAAATAAAACAAACATATTACATTATTCATTATGGTTAAAAGTGCAATTCATTTCCATAGTTGTAGGAATTATACCAAACACCAGAATTGGAAATGGAATTCTATAAAAATAAAAAATTGAATTCCGTTTCCATTTCCATTTCTTCCGGAATTGTATCCAAACAGGCTGTTAAAGTTTAAACGACATATTATTCACAAGCTCGGTTGGTGGGCTTGGTCCTGGCCCAAATAGAAGCCGAACAACTGAATCCGCTTGGGCGTATGATGTAGTTAATGGGCCTGATGGTTCTCACAGCTCGTTGGGAACCAAGTGGTTGTTCACTTGTTTTCCTGATATTTTGCGTGCTATTTTACTAGGAAGAAATTTATAATTTAACGAAATAAATAAGTCATTTATAATTAAATGTCTTCCAAATAATCTTATTGAATCACTTGTAAATAAGTATCTTTTCTAGCAGTAACTTATTATTATTTACAGATGACTCACTTTTTCTTTACTACTTTTCATTTTTAAGTTTTCCCTTCTTCATACACCCAATAACAGCTCGTTTCTATTTGGTCTCCATAATATTTTTCAATGATTTTTAAAAAATTCTTCTCACATATTTTCATTAATAATTTTTAATTAATTTTTGTAAAGTAGTTTCCTTTTGAAAACGATTTTAAATATAAGTTACATTTAGTTTAAAATGATATACTTTAAAATCGCTTACAATTCGTGAAAAAGCTCATATGAAATGAAATTATTGTTAAAAATAAAATGTGGTATTATTATGTATTCCTAATACCCAAACAATATGTTACATATTGGTTGTAGAATGAATTTTATCTTTGTGTTTGGCTCGATAAGTAATAAACAGGAATATATTACATGTAAATGCAAAACAATGTCTTGTTCTAGTGATAATATCAATAGTTTTGAATAAGGTTAATAGCATTTTGTGCCCTTCTATTATTGCAGATTAATAAATATACTCATTTACTAAATTCTGTACAAACATACCCTTATAATATTAAAACACTGTCATGTGTGATCGAGGGGAGAGGCAGATGGTTACAGCCGTTGTGTGCTCTCTTGTCGACGTCACGTCTAGCCAGCTCATCGCGCTGTATCACCCGGTTCTTTCCACTCGAGTCGGCGGCGCGAAGAAGCTGGGAGCACATATCGCCAAGTTGAGCAATTAATCGATAGGAGAGACAGAAGGTTTCTTGTCGAGTGGTTGTGAATTAATTTAGGGGTTTGTTTTAATTAATTGATTGATTTATGACATAAAATCATTAAAATTGAAATTAGGAGTGTTTAGGAGTAAATGGAGGGCAATTAGGCAATTGGATTAGAGTTTTCCAAGCCCAAAAAATTTTATCTCGGATTTTTTCCACGTATTAACGCATGGAATATTTGACAAAACGCGACCAATTGTCATTCCTACCCGTCACTTCCCAGCTTCACTCCTCAAAAAGCAAAACCTAACAGAAAAAAAAAAACAAAAAAGTGGGTGGCCGGTCAATCAAATGTCAGTTATGGAGACTATGGCTGAAAAAGAAACAGTAGTTCTAGCAGTAACCAATGAGATGGGCCAGCTGAAACTCAGCTGAGGGAGAAACAGAAGCAGAACTGTTTCTTTGGTCAAACAAGCAAAACTTGGTGATAGTGCCCGCCTCACGCAACATGATTGATGAGAGATTCCAGTTTTGGCTCACAGTATATAAAATACTGTAACAACAGGTGGTCCACTCCGTGCGATCTGATTAGTGTTTTCTTTACGTCTATGATGATCGAAGTTATAAAATTCGTATAAAAAATCTTCCCGATCAAATTCGATACTTGTATCGTAGTTTACATCAGCACCAATCAATCGATACTTTTCTATGTAACAAATGCCAGATCGCAATTTGTTTCAAATCCAATTGTTTCCCTAGAGATCCTAAATTAGGGACATGGCACTGTTGCAAGCCTAGGGTTCTATCTCTCCCCATAGAATGAATGTGGTCAAACAACTCCAGTAGGACATGTTTAAGCTAGAACACATGGTGTTCTAGCTTTCATGAAATAATGTACAGAAAATTTTGTACCAACAAGATGATTGAGCAAATAACAACACACTGGGTTTTGGTTGGTCTTTTCCATCTATCCTGTTCTAAGTGGAAGAAGCACAAGCAGCAGCAGCAGCATTCTAAATTTCTAATCCACTTCTGGAAAAAAATTCTCCGAATCCTCCATGCAGACAACAAATTTTCACAAACCAATAAGAATTCCATTTCCTTTTCCAATGGATCGATCATCTTCTACTCTTTGCAATCACTAACCACCTGCTTACCAAAAGCCAGAGGGAACTCGTGATCGTACTGCTCCGTCATCCCATGTTTCTCAGCCAACCCCTTCAAGGACTCGTAAACTTGGTACATGGCCAGCCTATCCTTCGGCCTAGAACCCACGCAATTCAGAGCAACCTTCAAGAAATGAGACATATCGTCGTCGTGACCTCTCCCCACCAGCGATTTATCGATGCAATCCTTCGTACGACCGGTGATCACCAGCTGGTTCACCCAATCCACCAAGTTCCCTTTGAACCCACCTTCATCCCCATTGTTCACATCCAAGGGCTTCTGCCCCGTGACCAGCTCAAGAAGCACGACCCCGAACGCGTACACATCCCCCTTCAGCGATGGCACCATAGTGCTGGAGTACTCCGGAGGAATGTACCCGAACTCCCCCAAGTCACCATTGAAGGAACTATCATTCGAATCACGAGTGGCAGCCAGTCTCGCGAGCCCAAAATCCGCGACTCTAGCATCGAAATCATCATCCAGGAGTATCACATTGGAGCTCATGTACTGATGAATGTAAGGAGGTTGGCATCCATGGTGAAGCCAGGCGAGCCCTCTGGCCGCACCAACCCCGATCCTAACCCTGGTCGGCCAATCGAGTGAACATCCCTGACCAATCCCAAAACCAGTCCCGTGCAGCTGAGAGTACAGAGTCCCACCAGGCATGTGTTTGTACACCAGCAATCTCTCTTCCTCCACCGCACAGAACCCCAGCAATGGCACAAGATTGGGATGCCTCAGCTGTCCTAACCGGTTCATCTCCGACCTAAATTGCTTCTCCCCGAGCTTGGAGCCGCTGAGTCTCTTAACGGCGAGGGCAGACCCATCAGGCAGCACAGCCTTGTAAGAAACCCCCGTTCTAGTGGAAATGATAATGTTCTCGAACTCGAAATGGTTGGTGGCTACAAGCAAATCGGAGAGCTTCATCTTGTGGATTGGTTTCTGGAAGAGGGAAACCTGGACGAGTTTACGCGACCGGAGCAAATCGATCCAGCTCGAATCGTCTTTCCGAGTGCCCGCAGCCGCCGCCCTCTTGCCGAACAGCCACCACCAAATTGCAAACCCTAGAATCAAAGAGCCGAGGGCTCCGATGACGCCGGCGGCAATTATGATCGCCAGGCTCTTACCGCTCAATCCGCCACACTTACCCAGCGGCCGGCCGCAGAGCTTGCCGTTGCCGTCAAAGTCGGCCTCGGGGAAAGTGGCCAAATCCGACGGCACCGAGCCGGAGAGGTCGTTATCCGCGACGGAGAACTTCTTCAGCCGGTCCAGCCGGCCGAGGCCGTAGGGGATCGAACCGGACATCCTGTTGCCGTTGAGGTAGAGGTTGTTGAGGAACTTACAGTTGACGATCTCCGGAGGGAGGGAGCCGGAGATGGAGTTGCCGGAGAGATCCAGAGTGACGATGTACGGCAGCCAGTTGCAGATTTGGGGAGGGAGGGAACCGGAGAGGTCGTTGTTGGAGAGATCCAGGACCTGGAGGCTGCGGCAGTACTTGAGAGACTCCGGGAGTTGACCGGAGAGCTGGAAATCAGGGAGCTGGAGGCTGATGATTCGCGTCTCCTTCTCGTTCCAGCAGGAGACGCCGTCGAGCTTGCAGACGGCGGCGACGGAGTTGTTGTTGAGGTTCCAGGTGGAGAGCCGGCCTTGCGGGTCCAGAGCCTTCTTGACGCCTTCCAGGCACATCAAGTCGTCCTCAATGGCGGTGGAGAGGGGAAGAAGGGAGAGGATGGAGAATAAGAATACGGAACTCAGCAGGAGAAGGGAGCAGATCCTGGCGTCTGTGTCCATCTCCGTCGTCTGGTTTATGTTGATTGGATTTCCGTTTCGGGTTGGGGGACGGTGGTGGGGAAATGGAGGAAGGGGAAGGAGGAGATTCGGGTTAGGAGGAGAGAGATGGAGATGGAAGAAGAAGAAGAAGAAGAGGAGAGAGAAGGGCGGCCATTGACTGACTGGGTAAGCTTGGAAAGATGAGGGGAAGGAAGATAGCAGAGAGAGCAGTCTTCTTGAGTATTGACTGTACTGCGACGTATTCGGTCTTCTTCTTTTTATTAATGATTAACTGTTTGTATTTGTTTTTTCTGGTCAAACTATTGTGTTTTTTAGTTTAGAAATAATACTAGCGGAATAGGGGTGTAAATTTCGACGTATAGTGAAAATTCAAAACTGTGACAAGTTTTTTTCTTCAAAAGATATTTATATTATTAAGAGATCAAGATCCTATACAAACACTAGAGTACAACCAAAGCGAGAATAAAAAATTACTGGCTCATTTGCTTATTAGGTTTACGATGGATTTGTAGTATTGTGGATTTGGGAAAGTATATTGTTTGGTTAGTTAATTTTTATCATGGATTTATGATGAATTTGTCTC